GATTGTGAAGCATGGAGGGAAATGTGAACCAAGCAAAAAATATACATGTATATTAATAACAACAATAATAAAATTCTTCCATTAAGAGTGTCTTGCAACAGCAGGAGACAACAGATCACTTCTGAGTGAAGTCTATTCCTGTGAGCCCACGTAAAGGCCAGTACATTAGCTCTCAATTACGCAAAGCCATTTAGCTGGTGTTTGAAAAGAATTTAAACCCGTATCGCCCTGATTTGTTGGCATTAGGTTGACAAATGCAACTCATTTATAGATCTACTGTTGCTGACGCTGCATGGATTCCCGTCCTCGTTTTTACTTATCCCGCCATGGTCATCCTAGACATGTCTGCAGCTCAATGGGTGCACAGCAGTTTTGCAGATAATAACCTGAGCTTCTCAATCCCATTCTACAGCAGCTGCCATCAGCACTGGTCCTCAATAATCCTCTTTATTCTGACAAACTCGCAGCTCTTATTAATGGCACTGTACCAGCCAGCCCCTGCTGAGACCAACCAGACAAACACCAGTTTTTAGCAACATAAACAACAACTATTTTTTTTGCCCATATGCTTTTTTAAGGCAGAACTTTGGTGCATTTTCTATGTAAATGTAAAAAAAGGAATGACTATGCACAGCTGATAAACCCAATGGGGCATCAGCAACAGACTCAACATGATGCCTGTTATATCTTCAAAATCACATCCCATGATGAATCATGAAAGATTGTAGAAAGGATTATCAAGCATGACCTCATTTGTCAAAATCTGCTTGATTACTAAAATGAATAAACATTTTTCTGATCAACTTTTCTGCCACCTGCTGGACAGACTGTGTAGGTTTATATCTAATGTGATGCAAGGCTAAAGCCAAAATTGCGCCTTATACCCTCATTCACTGTTGCAGGGGTGTAGATTTGGCATGAATAGAGGGGATGTGTCCCCACCAATATCCAGCAATGACTGAAATGTCCCCACCAAAAATGTAATCACCTTTAAAAAAAATGCTCTGTCAACCCTTAGTAAACTAGACATGCAGAAAGGGTTAAGTCACATCCTTCCTCTCTCAAACACATAAGGACATTGTGATTGGCTGGACCTATCCATGCTATTAACGACAGCTGCAATTAAGTTTGGATGTGCGAAGTGCCAAAACAAGGAATTTTTCCAGTCCTCTATCACTGTACAAGATGTGAACATTAGTAGCTACTTTTCAGAGATTCAAGTTTTTAAAATCCAGTCCATTATAATAATATTAACCAAGGCTGTGCAATTCAGTTTTGATTTTGGCTTTCTTGATTATAAAAAATAAATAATCAGGATAAAATGGTTAAATTGTGTCTCGTGCTTCTCTAAATTTCTTTACATTCATACCTCATCAAAGCCAACTTTATTTATGTTTTTTAAATATAAACTATAGCTTAGGGATCATTAGTCCACTTGAAAGAGCAAATTCAAATGAGTGAGAGTTTAGTAGTAACAAAAACATATGTGATTTGATCTCTGTCATGTATACAAACATCAATTTAAATTCATGAAGTATTCAGTATGTTACACTTGTAGGATTTTGCTGTGTATTCTTTTTGTCAGATGTGGCAATTCATTTGGCGTGCAACTTTTACAATGCATTATGGCATTCTCTAGCTGTTAAGCATAAGAATTTGAGTATGTCCACTATGGTTTTGAACACCACTACAAATGTCTGTGCCTTCAAATAGTGTAATACTAAATACTATAGACAGAGATTTGACAAATCGCGAGGCTACCCATTGGAAAGAAAAACTAAAATTTTAAAATTGGCAAGAAATGGAAGTTCCTAATGGAAGTAGTTTTTTTCCCCTTTTCAGACATATAACCAGTAACTGATTGAACAGTTTGTTCTTCACTTGTTTCAGTAAGCACATAATGAGAGAAGTGTCATTTCAAGATGAAGGGGAAGTTTGTTTGTTTGTTTTTATAATGAGGAGGAAAATATGTCAATATTCTATATTCTAAATACTTCAATATTCTATTTAAAATTCCTATCTCAATGTGATTTCCAGAGAGTTGCTTTGGTTGCTTCACATTACAATTGTTATTTTTTACTGATCCAAAAAAGCCTATGCAAATTCTCCATGCATTATGGCATCCATACTATATGTAAACACTTAGATTCCCCAAAATGCATTTAAGGTATGGTCAATCAGCTATTTTTGAAGGTTTAACCATGTGTATGGGGTGCAGTGTATTCTGCGTTTATGCTTTGAATAAAATTAATCCACACATTTTATCTTTCTTCTACATTGTCGTTTCAGTTCCCCTTCCCGATTCTATAAAGCTCCTGCCTTTTAAACACCCAAAGGGTTATGACTGGTCTAGTCCGGTGTGTTCTCATTCACTAGCCACCTAGTGCACTTTATCCAGAAACCTCTCGCCCATGAGCAGGGTTTATATTAATTTTATTGTCTGTGACGCAATCAACTGCAAAAGTTCATTGTAGTCATAGGCAGAGTTGAGGGAACACATCCCAAGCAACGCGAGTTACCCAATAATATTACTTTAAACAACTAATAAAGTAAGAAAATACATTGAAACTAATGCATTAATGTAATGCATTACTTTCTAAAGTAACTTTCCCCAACACTGGTCATAACCAACCATTTGTTGTATATAACCCTTAAAAAGCTGATTCTGTATAGTTCAGAAAATATCTCCAGTTGCACTGATCTTTGAGCATTGTAACCCTGCAAATTGCACACCAAATCAAAAAGTGAACCAGTGTTTCATAATCCCAGACCTCGCGCCTCACCATGCTGCACATTTCATATGCTTCTCTTCTCATGTCAGATATTTATTCTAATTCAAAAAATAAGTGCCCTGCAAAGTGGATATTACACCATGATTTCAGTTTGAAGGTGTATGTAATACAGTTAAAGTCAGAATTAATCACCCTCCTGTGATTTTATTTCTTGTTCAAATAATTTCCAAATTATGTTTAATAGAGCAAGGAAATAATCACAGTAATTCTGTAAATATTTTCTCTTCTGGGGAAAGTCTTATTTGTTTTATTTCGACTAAAAAAAAGCAGTTTTTATAAAAATAAAAAAATAAAAATAAAAAAACATTTTAAGGTCAATATTACTTGCCTTCTTAAGCAATATTTGTTTTGGATAGTAGTCTACAGAACAGAATACGGTAAGCTAAAATTTACCGTTGTGTATGTGTGTAAATGAGTGTGTATGGATGTTTCCCAGTGATGGGTTGCGGCTGGAAGGGCATCCGCTGCGTAAAAAAAATGTGCTGGACAAGTTGGTGGTTCATTCCACTGTGGTGACGCCAGATTAATAAAGAGACTAAGCCAAAAAGAAAATGAATGAATGAATGAGTCTACAGAACAAACCCCTGTTTGTACAATAGCTGTGTCCCAAATCCCATACTTATGCACTATTCTACGCCATTATGTAGTATAAATAGTAGTGCATTCACACTAAAGATAAAATAATGAAAATAGTTAAAAATATTATAATAAATAAATAATAATAAAAATACTATCTAAAAATAAATATAGAAACAATGAGTGCACTTTAATTACCGGGATGATGCACTGCATTCAGCCGGTAAAATGAAGTGTGTAATGATGGACTCTTCATGCACTCAACGACCGCAGCTTCGCAAAAAAAAAAATTAATAAAAAAAATTTTTCTTTGCTCACGTAGCGGAGCTATCGGGCGCACATGTTGGATAACTTTTATTTATTTAGAATAGTGAAAGCAAAATACTCTCATGAGAGTGATTATAGCGCCTCCCGATGGTATTATTTGATGGTTTGGTCATTTATTTCCCAGATTTGGCGACTTTCAAACATTTATTCATTCATTTTCTTGTCGGCTTAGTCCCTTTATTAATCCGGGGTCGCCACAGCGGAATGAAACGCCATCTTATCCAGCAAGTTTTTACGCAGCGGATGCCTTTCCAGTTGCAACACATCTCTGGGAAACATCCACACACACATTCACACACTACGGACAATTTAGCCTACCCAATTCACATGTATTTGGACTGTGGGGGAAACCGGAGCACCCAGAGGAAATCTACGCGAAGGCAGGGAGAACATGCAAACTCCACACAGAAACGCCAACAGAGCTGAGGTTTGAATCAGCGACCCAGCGGCCTTCTTGCTGTGAGGCGACAGCACTACCTACTGCGCCACTGCCTCGCCCCGACTGTCAAACATCATCTGGGAAACAGTTTAAATTTCCATTTAGTTAAAAAACATTATTACTCCATTTGGGACGAGACTACATACATATACTATTCTGTTGAGTGTGTAAGTGCATAAGTACATAGTGCATGAGTACATAGTGCATGAGTGCATGGTGTATAGTGTGCCATTTGAGACGCAGCTACTGACTTGCCCAATTACCCTAACTTGCCTAATTAGCCCAATTAATCTAGTTAAGCCTTTAAATATCACTTTAAGATGTATAGTAGTATCTTGAAAAATGTCTAGTAAAATTGTATGTACTGTCATCATAGCAAAGATAAAATAATTCAGTTATTAGAAAGGAGTAATTAAAACTATTTACTTACAGGGGGGCTAATAATTGAGAAGGGCTAATAATTCTGACTTCAACTGTATGCTTTTCATTCAAAGGGTATTTTAGTGTGTGATATGTGAATTACATCTTTTTTGGGAGGTATATTATGTCACACTTCCCTATTAGGACGCTGCAGGCAAAGTCATTTAAAAAATCCATGAATGAGGTGAAATAGAGATTTTTTTGTGTTCAGGTAGAGAGCAATGAAAGAGAAGGCACTCGAGAACAATGCACACTGTGTAGAGACCTGTCAATCACAACTCAGTTCATGCATGGAGCTCCTACAACAAGCTAGTTATCTAATTCAGTGTTGTTAAATAAGAGGAAACATGCTAAATGTGCAGGTCGTGAGGACTGGGATCGAGAACCACTGATCTAAAAAAAAAAGGGGTCAAACAGGGCACTGATGAAGCCTTTTGAACTCTAACCTGATGTGCAGCCAGGATAGCATTGGCGTGGTGCCTCCTCCGAACACCCACACTGTGAAGAACACAATGAGCAGGGTCGTAGTGAACATCATCTGCCGCGCGTATGTGGCAGTGTCACGAATGGCCAGAGCGAACGCCATAGCCCCTCGCAGCCCTGCAGAGCACAAACACACACAGAACAGTCATAATAGATTTTAGGAAGAATGACAGCGCTGCTACAAATAGAAATGGCAGTGCACTTAAGCCACCAAACAGAGGCATCACACTCAATCGGCTGTGTTTAAGGGCACTGCACTTCGCTGGCCTTTTAGCTGGGTGGTGTCGCTGGTCTGGAGGGAGCTGCTCCACATGAGGAGCCGTTATTAGAGATGGACTGATTCTGATGCCTCATTTCACTCTTAATTTAGATCTCGATAAGATTTAGCAGGGTGCCGAAATCTACAGGGAGTTCACATCAAATCGTTTGACACTAAAGGACGCAACATAAGTAATCCCGCTGTATGTATTAAATAGTTCTGCATCTATAAGGTTATATGACAGAGAAAAGGAAGTAAATCAGGTGTGATCACGGTACCTGCGAACATCATCATGTGCTGAAAGTTTCCTCGGATTTTGTGTCTTCGGCCCAGGTTAATCAGAAAAGATAAGGGGTAGATGTTCAAGGCCCGGCCGATGAAGATGGCTAGCTGAGTGCAAATGTAAAGGAATATGTTCTCATGTGTGACATATTAGATTTCAGAAAATTGAAATATTAAAACACAGTGGTTGGTTTACTTCCTCTTATTTTTCTTTGTTAAACAAATAAACATATTTATTAATCAGTGATGCATTAAATATTGTTTCCTCAGCACTTTAGTTAATTAAAAGAATCTTTACAGTTTCAATTTATTAGAAAAATGCTAACTAAGATTTAGAGAATCCTTATAGCAAACTTCTGTGTTTTTTTTTCAAAAAAGCAACCGTTTATTTGTGTTGTGTTTTGTTTCATTTGTTTATATTCATTTATTCTTCATTTAATTATTTTATTTAATCATATAATCATAAGTCATTTATATAATTATAATTTTAGCATTTTATTGATTATCACTTAAAGATTTTATAATTATAATTATTATTATTATTATTATTATTGATTATTATTTTTTGTTTCGTTTTGTTAAGTTTTATATTTTATTATTACTATTTTCCTTTATTTACTACTTTATTATAATTTCATTTTTAGAAAATTGAATTAATCTTATGACTGTGTGGATTCAAGTGACACTTGTTTTCAAAAGTAAGAGATAAGAGAATGTCTCTATTTCAAGCTATGTATTGTCTCTGGACAATGTTGTGAAGCAGTACTTTTCCATTACTGTTGCTTACGGAATAATATTACTTGTTGGATTTCTCGTGGTCAGATGAAGTCTGAGCACTGAATCATACACAAGTAAGATTATTCAATAAACTCTCATTCAATAAGCTCTTTCAATAAATTCAATAAGCTCTTTCTTTATCATCTTTACTTTGTCTCCTGTTTCTGTTCCTCTCTGGCTTTCTCTGTCAACTCCTATACTGATAGGAGATTGTTACTTCACTTGAATACTGGTTAAAAGGTCTGAGTATTGGGCAGCTGTGCTAGCTTGTTGTCTGGATGCCCAGAGAAACAGATATTTTCTGACAGAATCTGGCGTCCGGGGCAATATCTTATTTATCTGACATGGAGAGTGTGATCTAACATGTTAAACAATCGGTTTTAAATAGTTCGCTAAAAGTGTAGCTACATATCAGATATTAAACTGGTTTACTGTTGAAAAATATTTTTTCTCTCAAATTATTATTATTTTTTTATTTAAACATATTTATTTCTATAAGTTATTCCTGTTCTTATAACAGACATTTAATGTAGAGGCTATAGAACCCTGTACACAATGCCTCCTAGTGGCTATAAATGACATAAATAAAAGATTTTCTTAAACTGCCTTAAACTTTTCTGGATTTCTAAGCAGTTTGGTTCACTGGTGCATCATCTATAACAGGGGTTCTCAAACTCGGTCCTGGTGGGCCGGTGTCCTGCAGATTTTAACTCCAACTTGCCTCAACACACCTGCACGGATGTTTATAGACAGCCTTGTAAGAGCTAGATTAGCTAGCTTAGGTGGATCTGATTGGGGTTAGAACTAAACTTTGCAGGACACCGGTCCTCCAGTGTTGAGTTTAGGCATCCCTGATCTATAACTTGCTGTCAAACTATCCAGATAAATCCTAAAAAAAAATCAAGCTTAGTTTATTATACATTAACCACCTTTTTATGTGGAAAATACATTTTGTTTCAGCCTGAAAGGATACAAAGGCTCCAACTATGAAAATAGGGCTGAAGACGTGATTCTGGAAAGTGAAGAGTGCTAGGCCCATGTAGGAGAAGATGAAGTTCTCAGCCAGGAAGTGCAACACCTCAAACAACTGCAACAACAAACAGACCGGGCATTAAGTTGTTTACACTACACCTAAAGCAGCATTAATCAACAAAACAGCTGATACGACACTGACACAAGCGAATTGTAATGTTTTCCTAATCATGCTTTAAGGAAATTATAGGAGTGTCTTTCACATTAGAAGCGTTTAAAATAAAATGGATACAAAAAAGCTGTCATTCACCTTTAAGTTCATCCAACAAATAATACAACTTTACTTTCAGAGCACAGCATAAAACTCAGTAAAACAAGTAAGAACAAGTGTTTATATGGAAATATTAAGAATGTGTTGAGTATTTAAAGGAATTCTAGAGGAAACAACAGAACTCAAATGAGCAGACATGCTTGAGATTATGATGTCATTTTAAAATACCAAGCATGACATTATTCTTATAATAGTTTTCATAACAGATAGGGAGCACAACCTTAATATTTCAAATGATTTGTTTTAGTACTTTTGAAGAGAAGTTCAGTCAGAAGTGCAAGCTTCAGACGTCAAAGTTGACAACACAGTGGCTTTTATAACATTTAAAGCGGAGGCTGACATTTATGTATTTGTGCCTACAGTCTACAACTTTACCCTTCTCCTGGCTTTGATAATAATAAGCGTGACTCCCTGCAGAGAAATCCAGTGCCACAGGGGTGTCATAATTACTGCCTGCGCTTCACCTCTCACTCCATCACACCGCACCGCTCTGACGACACCACAGGGGTGCTGGGAATTCACTTCACACACTCCCTCGACTTACAGCCTCAAAGTATCTTTTGAAGTAGAATATGCAGGGCTCCATTCCCGAAAACAAACTTTTTTTCTTATTTTTCAAGCTACAGCTGATATCTGTCTTCTTTATGCCTATAAACCAGTTCATGCATTGAAAACAGGAAATAATTCACCTGTTTAGTGCGTTTGGTCGACTCCTCTGAGAGATTGTTGTAGGTATAGTGAGCTTGTGTGATTCCACAAAACAGCACAGCGACAACACCTGAAACAAATCAAGAAATGTGCATCATTTTTAATGGATCGAATACAATTTCTATTCAGGCTAGAGGCGAAATCCATTTAAATGACTGCACACATTTACATATGAAGGATATCACTGTCTAGCCCTTCCAGCAAAATGGAGAAAGTTCCTGGGTTTGATTTGATTTGTATGCAAATAGTAAGAATTGTTATTTTGTGCCAAGAGGGTATGCAGCTGTGGTGTTGTATTGTATGATATATTACGCTCTCGTTTGACCTTTGGGTTACTGCTGGTGAATTAAACAGCTTTCCTTTACCACCCACCTGTGAAGCCACATGCTTCAGCCAGTAGAAAAGTACTCCAGGACATGAGGAAGAACAAAGCCGTCTCCAGTAGAGGAAAACAGTGCAGCTTGGTGAATTTTGTCACGTGGATAAAAGTTAAGAATTAAAACCACACATATGGTCAGCAAATCAGCACAGAGAAAAACCAAAGTACTGTGAATGTAGAATAAAATTGTACGTTTTTTTTATGCTCATCAAGGCTGCATTTATTTAATCAAACCAGGCATTCTAGTGAAATCAAATTATTCTTGCAAATAAATACACATTTTTGACCCCATATGTATAACCAATGTCTATACAAACTGCATTTACTATGCTCTAAACCAGTGGTTCTCAATCGTTTTGCCAGGAGATCCCAACATTCAAAATCTGGATTATCTGCCAAGAACGTATCTGGCCGATTTGGCCTAAAGCCAAAATCTTGATTAATTAAACATTTTAACTCGATTACGATTCATTTTTTTGCCCACATAGTTCACTGACAAGTTTTATATGAAGTCTATAGGCATTTCTGGCTTTCAATTATCGTCAGTGTAGTGCAAAGAAAGACTCAAGAATGAGTCCATCGTCCTACTTGAGCAGAGATCAGATGTAAAGTAGCTGCAGAAGTAAAAATCAGCCACAACCTTTAATAGAGCAGGGTCATGTGACACAGAGAAAAAAAATTAATCGATCATAGGCTCTGAATGTTGATTTTGATTACTTTTCGATGAATCACCTGGCCTCACCTCAAGCCCTAAAAACAAAACCCTAGCAGACAAGAATTTAAAAATCAGTCGTAAGGAGTTACATTTTTTGTGTGAAACACCATGTTATCTACATATCTTTAAAAATCCCCCTTTTTAAACTGTTAACTGTAGATGCACGATATGATTTCCCAATCCCAATGAATAATTTATATATATAAATAAATATGTTTGTTTGTTTTGCGCTGGTCTGAACTAGTCTGGTGCTTATAAAGCCGCCATCCTTTCAAAGACTGTCGGCTTCATTCAGATACACATTTATATAATTAATTAAAAACTTTGATTATTAAATTATATTTTTAAGGTTTATTAAATGGCATTATTAACCATCTTGAATTTACTTTTATCATTAAAGTGGTACAAGGTTCACTCCTAGTTGCAACCATCAATCTAAAGTGAGTGGCACCTCTTCATAAATCTTTGGTGACCTCTAGTGGGGTCCTCACTGCTCTCTCAACATCATTTTACAATATGCTAGAGAGTAATTTAATGACAAAATGCAAAAGGATATAAGCGCGGTGACCACACCAGTGACTGCACCCATAGCAAAAGAGCCGCTGAAGATGCCTATGAAGACGCCCACCGATTTGAAGAAGGCAGAGGCATCGAATGTGTGTGTGTTGGCTCCTGAAGGCTGATATGCCACAATCGACCTATAAAGCAAACACAAAACATCTAAACTTACTGACTGTGCTGTTCTTTGACCAAAACATCTGAAAAAAAAAAATAGGATTATAGACTACATTTAAACTAGCTCTTTTTAAGATGTCAAAGCAATATATATTTTCATTCATTTATTTTGTTTTTGGCTTAGTCTCTTTTTTTAATCCGGGCTCGCCACAGCAGAATGAACCGCCAACTTATCCAGCACGTTTTTATGCAGCGGATGACCTTCCAGCCGCAACCCATCTTTTGGAAACATCCACACACACTCATACACTACAGACAATTTAGCCTACCCAATTCACCTGTACCGCACGTGTTTAGACTGTGGGGGACACCGGAGCACCCGGAAGAAACCCACACAAACGCAGGGGGAACACGCAAACTCCATACAGAAACGCCAACTGACCCAGCCGAGGCTCGAACCAGCGACCTTCTTGCTGTGAGGCGATATCTCTACCTACTGCGCCACTGCGTCGTGCCATATATATATATTTTTAAATGTATATAAATATTAAGTCCATGAAATGTTTCTGTGATAATCCAACTCCACAACATTTAGAAAGGGATGAACAAGGGAATCAGAAATAATCAGCTCTAGCTTATGTTGTCCAAAAGGTGGAGTAAGAGTGCCGTACTGAAATTCCACTAGACTTGCAACACACAACTTTAATAGTTTTTTTACTACTCAGCACTACAGTGAAAATTGTCCCCAGAAAACCCTGTACTGGCAGCCAGGGAAATCCCACCAACTGCCGCAGACAAAACACGTGATATTGTACCTTTTTTGTAGCATAGAATGGGAACAAGAAAGTGATACAGTTTAAAGAAGAGACTTACGATGAAAGCACTATGGAGACCGCATCGTTCATGACACTCTCTCCAAACAGCAGAGCGTAGAGATCCCCATCAGCATGGAGCTCATTAAAGATCGCAAGCACGGTGACTAAAATCACACACAAATTACAAACAGAAATGACTAAATGCCAATGATCTGCTTATGTCAATGTCATACAAACAAATCATTTAATTCTCAGCTTTTTCAAATAGTGATGCTGAATTTGAACATTTAAAAGCAACAGCAAGTATCTACTATTGGAATGATGAAAAAACAGACAATGACATTAAAATAAATGGAGAAAGAGATGAAATACCTGGGTCTGTGGCAGATATGATGGCACCAAAAAACAGACAGTCCGTGTAGTAAAACTTGTCTGTGAGTTGACCCAAAACCTGCATCAGTTTTACCACGCCATACATGAGGTTTCTATCAAAAAAACAAGCAAACATATTGTTAGAATTGAAACCAATGATACTAATCATGTTGACAAACAACTAGACCTCACAGTTAAGAATGTTGTATCTTAATATGCAATGTACTTAACTTCACTTTCCATTTCTAATGTGACAGACAAACCTTCTGACTTTAAAGAGTTTTCTGTGTTAAAAATGTCAAAGACATTCACTCGAACCCTGCCGTTGCTGGCACTATCATCTACTAATTGAGCTAAAGGACATGAAGACTTACCCGATGACAAAACAGGAAATTGCAGTGCCCAGGAAGGCATACGTTATGATGGATCCCAGGTTCCTGAAGAAGTGTCTCTGGAAATAAAAATAAAGTATGTAATGGTAAATGTCATGCAAGGGTATAATTAAGTGAATTCACCAAAAGCAATAAAAAATATTCTAAATAATCCAATTAGTCAAACAGTTTTCAGCAGACATTTATAGTATGAAAACAATACTGAAGAAGTCAGTAAGTCAATGGTGTTTGCATGAGGTAGTTATAGGAAATACAAATAGTCAAGAAGAACTTGTTTCTCTTAGACCCCTTTTCTGTAGGACATTGTGCTTGGGGCTGAAAGATATTGGAAAAATTTGACATTACAATATTTAGTTTTTCAGTTATATACGTCACAATAGGAGTACAATTTTAGCAGATGGCTCTATTTGGAGGGTGGATATTTCATTTAGATTGAATGGGATGATTTTCTAAGGGTGTGAATCATGTTTAAGAAAATATTAAACAAATTGCTGGAAGTAGCCATCAGAAGATGGGTACACTGTGGTCATAAACGAATGGACATGGTCAGCAACAATACTCAGATAGGCTGTGGTGTTGACACGATTCTCAGTTGGTATTATTGAGCCCAAAGTGTGCCAAGAAAATATCCCCCACACCATTACACCATCACCACCAGTCTGAACCGTTGATAAAAGGCAGAATGGATCAATGCTTTCATGTTGTTGATCCCAAATTCTGCTCCTACCATCTGAATGTCGCACCAGAAATCGTGACTCATCAGACCAGGCAACATTTTTCCAATCTTCTATTGTCCAGTTTTGGTGAGCCTGTGTGAATTGTAGCCTCAGTCTCGTTTTCTTAGCTGACAGGAGTGGCACCCGGTGTGGTCTTTTGCTGCTGTGGCCCATCTGCCTCAAGGTTGGATGTGCTGTGCGTTCAAAGATGCTCTTCTGCATATGTCGGTTGTAACGAGTGGTTATTTAAGTTACTCCTCCTGAGTGGAATTTGAGCATTCTCCTCTGACCTCTGGCATCTACAAGGCATTTGCGTCCACAGAACTGCTGCTCACTGGATATTTTCTCTTTTTCAAACCATTCTCTGTAAACCCTAGAGATGGTTGTGCATGAAAATCCCAGTAGATCAGCAGTTTCTGAAATATTTCTTCCCCATTCTGATGCTCGGTTTGAACTTCAGCAGGTCGTCGTGACCATGTCTACATGCCTAAATGCATTGAGTTGTTGCCATGTGATTGGCTGATTAGAAATTTGCGTTAACGAGCAGTAGGACAGGTGTACCTAATATAGTGGCCTGTGAGTGTATAATCTCTGTTGTATATGTAATGTTAATAATAACATCTCACCATATTAACTTATCAGAAGGTAAATTGTGGAAAGATGACACAATCATATCTAGAACAAAAACATCTTCCAGATACCATCAATAAAGACTCATAGTCTAGCATTTGGCTGTCTTACACGCTGCCGTTCTAGCTCTTTTATTTCCTTCTATTTTTGCTTGTTTACAGAGCAAGGCACAGCTTTTTTCCTGTCTGACTATCAGTCACAAGAAGCTGAGTCACTCTGTTGCTACAAAGCGAAGCAACTACACGATAATTTGACGTAAACCTCGCTCTCTTTCTCTGCCAAAAGGGCTTCTTGTGTTGCATCTGTAAATGGCTGCACTGCTGGTCTGTGACAGATGGGAAATGACAGTGATCAATGAAATTCAAATACAGACAATACAGTTGGTTTACTGACTAAATGGGAGCTCAAAAATGAAGCTGTTCAAGCATGGAAGCATTTATAACAATTCTTGGCAGGAAATGAAACCAGTATTATAGTGAAAGTGTAAATCAGTAATGTTAGCTCAGTGAAACCAAGAAAGGTAAAAAAAGAAGATCAGAAAATAAATGTTGTTACATGAGTCTCTCAGAGCTAATGCACACAGCCTCTCATTCACTATGTATTAATTATCTTTATATGTATTAAAGTTATATATTTAGAAATCTACAGTACAGGTATCGTTCACTGCTGTAAATTATGTTTAGCCTGCATCTTTATCTTCATTCTGAATTCATTCTTTTCACTTCGGCTTAGTTATTTTATTTATCAGGGGTCGCCACAGCGGAATAAACTGCCAATTAATCCAGCATATCTTTTACTCAGTGGATGACCTTCCAGCTGCAACCCAGTATAGGGAAACACCCATGCACACGCATGTAATGTAATATGTGTATTTATATAGCACATTTATTGTGTGTGGCCATACACCCAAAGCGCTTCACAATCATGGGGGGGTCTCTCCACACCACCACCAGCGTGCAGCATCCACTTGGATGATGCGACGACAGTCACAGGACAACGGCACCAGTGCGCTCACCACAGACCAACTATTTGGTGGAGAGAAGAGATATTGCTAGATATCGGTGAATGGGGATGATTGAGAGGCCATGATCTGTAAGGGCCGATGGAGGGAATTTGGCCAAGACAGGATTTTACACCCTTACTCTTTACTAGAAGTGCCATGGGATTTTTTTAATGACCACAGAGAGCCAGGACCTCAGTTTAACGTCTCATCCGAAAGATGGGCTCACTGACAGTATAGTGTCCCCTTCACTATACAGGGCATTAGGACTGACAGACGTTGCGTGACATGGGGTTAGACGCCTCCTGCTGGCCTCACTAACACCACTTCCAACAGCAACCTAGTTTTCCCATGTGGTCTCCCATCAAAGTACTGACCAGGCTCAGCCCTGCTTAGCTTTAGTAAGTAACTGCAGGGTGATATGGCTATGGCTGTGGCATTCACACACATTTACTACAGACAATTTAGTTTATTCAATTCACCTATACTGCATGGTATATGAGCACCCGGAAGCAACATAGTGAGAACATGCAAACTCCATACAGAAAGCCAACCTGACCCAGCCGGGACTCGAACCAGTGATCCCTCACTTAATAATATTTAAGTTAGGTGATATTCTCACACCCATTAAGATAGACTATATATACAGAATCTGCAGATGCTTTTCCCACATTGTTATGCTAAATTGGTGCTGGAATTATTCATTCATTTTCTTTTCGGCTTAGTCCCTATTTTAATCATGGGTCGCCACAGAGATATGAACGGCCAACTTATCTAGCATATGTTTTATGCAGTGAATGCCCAACACTGGGAAACACCTATACACTTGTGCATTCACACACATACATTACGGTCAATTTAGCTTATTCAATTCACCTAAAGCGTATGTCTTCCCTGCAGGCACAGGGCATCAACATGACGTCATATTGAAGACCAACGTCAATGTCTAATATCCTACCTAAAATCAACGTAAAATCAACCAAATATCAACGTCTAATCATATTACACCTTGACGTTGTGTGGACGTTACCACTATGACATCTATCAAATGTCTGATTTTAGTCACTTTCCAACAAAACCTAAAATCAACTAAATATCAGCGTAATTTGACGTCGTTATTGGACATTAAAATAACATTGTCCTTCAAAATAAACGCTGGCTAGACATTGAATTTTGGTCACCTGATGTCATGACCTAAATCTAACCTAATATTAACGTCTTATGATGTTGTGTGCTTGCTGGGTTTGGACTGTGGGGAAAACCAGAGCACCCAGAGGAACACAGGGAGAACATTTAATAAATGATTACACAATGGATGAGGGATTTGTAGAATTTCACAAATAAGAGGAATCGCAATGCCAGGAAAATCAGGCAAGTGTTCTGTGGGTGCAGATTTTGTGGCGGCTTCACATATTTTGCAAACATGTATGAATGATTTTATTTTGTGGAACATAACCTCCATTTTGAAAAACACTTGTTAACCAAGCAAATAAATGCTGACCTATTTCTCAAAATCTGCTTTCTTATGTTCTACAGTACAAAGAAAGTCATACAGGTTAGGTTTGGGTCAATATAAAAGCAAGTGACTTCTTAACTTTTATTTTTAGGTGAACAACTGTTATAATGCACATTAAAACGAGTGATCAGCGTGTGCATTTTTGGTGTGTAAACTTTATTATCTGCCAAAGTTCATGCAAACTCTGAGCCGCCTGCTTTCCCCAGATTCTGTGAGGCTCATCAAAAACCTCAAACGAGTTACAAAGAGAGGAAACAATGTAGCCTTGTGATTGTGTCTCAAACATACACAGCTGGCAGAAACCCTCACTTCCTCAGTGCCTCCCTGCTCACTCAGCACAAACTGAAGCCTAATGTTAATATCTGGAATCCACACAGTATTCACTTCAAAAATCTCACTCAAATATCGCCATCTCTATTAGGGGTGCAAGTGCAATAATTGATTCAGACTAAAATATAAAATTTGCTATTTTAATTTGTTGTTGGACAATAAATATGCCACATGTACATGCTGGCTTCACACAATTTCTTCATATTGTCCCAATACAATTTGATTCAGATACCTTGATTCTTTCCACAAATTTAAGTGGAATTAAGTGAACATAAAACTATTAAGTTGTCCCAAAACTTAAGAATTGTGTTGGTTCAAATTATATTAAATATATATTATATTAAATAAGTAGTTTGACCAAGCAGCAAACGCTTTTGAGTGTAGAACATAATAACTTTGCAGTTTTTGCTATAATAGTAATCAAATAGTTTGGGAAATTTATGGGCTAACTTAAAAGCATTATTTAAGAATGTCATGTCATTTCAACTTTTTTTTAATAATGTGCAGCACTTTCTTAGTTAAATTCACAATTTCTCTTTTCATTTGGGCAATATTTAGCCCTAATTATTAGCCCCTGTGTATTTTTTCTCTAATTTCTGTTTGACAAAAAGTAAATTTTTTTTTTCTGCACATTTCTAAACATAGTTTTAATAACTCATTTTTAATAACTGATTTCTTTTAGGCAGCACAGTGGCTCAGTGGTTAGCACTGTCACCTCACAGCGAGAAGGTTACTGATTCAAGTCCCGGCTGGGTCAGTTGGCATTTCTGTGTGGATTTTGCATGTTTTACCCATGTCTGCGTGAGTATTCTCTGGGCGCTGGTTACCCCCACAGTTCAAAGACATGTGTTATAACCTATTAAGGCCCAAGGTGTTATTTTTACCTGCATTTTTTATTTCTCTTTGCTATTTGGGTTTATTGGAATCTAATAAGTATAAGATTTTGTACACAAAAGTATAATACTTTGATATGATGTACTTTTAGAGAAAAATTAAGTCCATGTATGTGGACTCGTGGCCTGAATTTACTTAAAACACTTTTTCCTGACTGTTTTTGAATACATATCTTTTATTTATTTATTTATTTTTTACATGTTTTGACTATAAGAGAGTAAAACAATTTTTTTTTTTGCCCATTTTGGAAAGTTAAAAATAGTGTTTGGGACATTGCACATGCTGCAAAACAGTTGCAGGATGACACTGTATGTCTGTAACAATATATATATATATATATATATATATATATATATATATATATATATATATATATATATATATATATATATATATATATATATATATATATATATATATATATATATATTTCCCCCACAGTCCAAAGACATGCGGTACAGGTGAATTGGGTAGGCTAAATTGCCCATTGTGTGGAAGGGCATCCGCTGCGTAAAAACGTGCTGGATAAGTTGCCGGTTCATTCCGTTGTGGCGACCCTGGATTAATAAAGGGACTAAGCCGACAAGAAAATGATGATGATGATGATGATGATGAATTAAAACTGCATTAATTCTAGCAGAAATAAAATTAATAAGTCATTTTCAGAAAAAAATATTGTTGGAAATACTGTAAGAAATGTCTTGCCCTCTTAAGTGCATATATAAAAGGGAAATGTATGAAAAAGAAAAACAATTCACAGGAGAGCTAATAATTTTGATTTCAACTGTATACGGACAGACAGACAGATAGACAGACAGATGGATAGATTGATAGATAGAATAAAACAAATTTTTATCCAATTGTAAGAAAGGAAACACAGGAATATATAGACTTCAGCCCAAAAATACAAAGATATGATTTTTTTTGTTCATATTACCAAACCCCATCATAATACTTCTATAAATAGGCCAAAGTAGCACTGTAAGCTACTAAATAACAGGTCACGAGGACCAAGAAAACTAAACACTAACCCAATTTGGTTTTGCAGACCACAATCTGACTTCCTGTTCAATACACTTTAACAGAACTCAGTTTAAAAGATGCCAGTGTGTAATAAAATACAAATCTACACCAGCTCTTAGTCACTCTTAAACAAAATCATCTGAGCTGGTCTGTATAGCACTCCTCTCCTATGGTTAAAGCTTCCACTTAGGAAAAAAAATGGTTGAACAGAGATCAGGTTTACTTGCACTCAATAGATTATATCTCAGAATTGTATAATGTAAGGTAAAGAAGCAATTTAATGTATGAACACCATGCTAAAGAAGCAAATAGAGAGTTTAAAAAGAAAAAGAATAAAGATAAATACCCTGCTCACGATATCACTCATACCTTCTTGAGGCTGTATCCGGCATGGAAAATGATGGGAGGTAGCAGAATATTGAAGAAAACCTCTGGGTCAAAGGTCAGCTGTAAAAAAAGGATAATTAATTGTCAGAAAATGTAAATAAATTGAACAGTTTAAATTTAAAGAAATATATATATAGGCACTACAAGTAGCTTAATGTTAAAACAGTAAATCATGTAGTCATGTGTTTTTCTACTGAAACAAATATGAACGTTTCTTTAATCCACAATCAAGACTGTGGTGATGTGATGTTTTAGTCATGTTTTAATAAAGTGATTAATTCATATTTAAATATTTGCTTAATGCTTTTTTTATCTTCCAGGAGTGTGTTTTTTTTTATCTTCCACGTGTGTGTGTGTGTGTGTGTGTGCATACACTCTCTGGCCACTTTATTAGGTACACCTGTGTAACTGATCGTTAAAACAAATTTCTAATCAGCCAATCACATGGCAGCAACTCAGTACATTTAGGCATGTAGACATGAGCCCCTTTCACACATACAGACCTTTCCGGAAAATTGCCGGCAATTTTCTGGAAAGGTTGTATGTGTGAACAGGTCCTTTTTGCAAATACCGGTAAATTCGTTCTGGCTATTTTCCGGAAAGAGAAGTTGTAACATTACCGGCAATTTGCCGGAATGCTGCGCTGTGTGAATGCAGAAGGAAGATTCCCGTAATAAGCGCGTGCACGTCTAGAACGTGCTGACGTGAGACGTCTGCTTTAGCCAATCACAACAGTCAGACGCATTTACGTCCGCGCGGTTTGGGAGGATAAAAGCCTTTGAATATTTTTCCAGACACATTTAGCTGCTAGAAGTTAGTCAGATCACGTTTATATGTTCTTCTTAATGCCAACTGTGTAAATAATCATTGATGAGATGCTTATGATAAGCCGTTGTTTGTTTACCTTCAAGCTTTGCGTGTGACTGTGAAACACCCTGTGAGCCACTGCACACGCACATATTATGAACATCTCGACATGCGAAAGTGATCCTGCGAAAGTTGTTCACAATATTGATCATCCACTGAGTTTGTAATTTAGTCAAATGTTTACAAATACAAGCGCAGCCGTTTAAAGCTCATTTGTGGTGAATGATGTCAGAATTTACCGGTATTTTGGAATGGATGTGTGAATGCTCTTTTCCGGAAAATTTCCGTAACGTCCTCGCCTGTGTGAACAGCGCTTTTTTCAATATACCGGTAAAGTCTTTCCGGAAATTTTCCAGATATTTACCAGTATCACTGTGTGAATGGGGCTATGGTCAAGACAATCTGCTGCAGTTCAAACATAGCATCAGAATAGGGAAGAAAGGTGATTTAAGTGACTTTGATTGTGGCATGGTTGTTGGTGACCGACGGGCTGGTCTGAGTATTTCAGAAACTGCTGATCTACTGGGATTTCACACACAACCATCTCTAGGGTTTACAGAGAATGGTCCGAAAATGGCCAGACTGGTTCGAGCTGATAGAAAGGCAACAGTGACTCAAATAAACACTCGTTGCAATTAAGGTATCCAGAAGAGCATCTCTGAATGCACAACACATCCAAACTTAAGGCAGATGAGCTACAGCAGCAAAAGACCGCACCTAGTGCCACTCCTGTCAGCTAAGAAAATGAAACTGAGGCTACAATTCACACAGGCTAACCAAAACTGGATGATAGAAGATTGGAAAAATGTTGCCTGGTCTGATAAGTCTCGACTTCTGCTGCGACATTTGTATGGTAGGGTGAGAATTTGGCATCAACAACATGAAAGCATTGATCCATTCTGTCTTGTAACAACGGTTCAGTCTGTTGGTGGTGGTATAATGGTGTGGGGGATATTTTAATGGCACACTTTGGGCTCATTACTACTAATTAAGCATGTTGTCAAGGACACAGCCTACCTGAGTATTGTTGCTCACCATGTCCATCCCTTAATGGCCACAGAGTACCCATCTTCTGATAGCTATTTCAAAGAGGATGATACGCCATGTCATAAAGTGTGAATCATCTCAGACTGGTTTCTTGAACATGACTATGAGTTCACTGTGCTCAAATGGCCTCCACAGTCACCAGAACTCAATCCAATAGAGCACTTTTGGAATGTGGTGGAATGAGAGATCATGGATGTGCAGCCGACAAATCTGCAGCAACTGTGTGATGCTATTATGTCAATATGGACCAAAATCTGAGGAATACTTCTAGTACCTTGTTGAATCTATGCCATGAAGGATTAAGGCAGTTCTGAAAGCAAAAGCGGGTCCAACCCGAAACTAGTAAGGTTTACCTAATGAAGTGTCCGGTGAGTATGTGTATATATGTATGTGTGTGTGTATATCCAGTAATTGAAGTCCCCCTCGACTTAATTCAACCTAAATTACTGAACCTTCTACTTCCTCTTTTTATTTTTCAATTTAGCTGTTCAATTTTTTATCATTTCAGTTTTAGTATTTCATACCAGCTATATTTCAATTAACCAGAACATTTTAATACTTTCCAGGCATGCTGGACAGAGAACTGAAGTTAGACCTCAAAATTAAAATTAAACCTCTGCTGTTTTTATGAGAAGTGTTTTAATAAGAGCGTTTGCTGACGTACCTTGCGCAACATGTCATTCTGCTCCACACTGTGGATTTCTCGAAGGTTGATCTCCCCTTTGAGCGTGTATTCAAAGAACTTCCCGCTAACATTGAGAAGCACAGTGCTGACAGGACCCTCCTTCAGCATGCAGCTCGGAGGAGTTTTATTATGGTAGCTGGTGGAGGGAATGCCATACCTCAAAATAACACCCACCAACAGACCTGTCCAACACACAGAAGATAGACCAGTCACATACACACATTCAATTCATGCACTTTGTAAAAAACGGCTTGCTGAAAGGGAAACTTGTTTGGAAGCAACATTTTTTTGCAGTGGCGCTGAAATTACACCTTCTTCTCCTTAACACACAGTATGGGCACATTTGTTTCTGTGTGATGACAGCAAGTAGAGATGAGAGCCTGCTGTGTCAAATCTGTTGGAGGGTATTTCCATACTAATGAAGTGCCAGAGGAAGTCAACAGCACAAACAGCATGGGCTACAGAAACAAGAACTGAGGCAAAAACACATCACCACATCGGAATTTTTTTTTTCTTAAAATCCAAAATAAACTTCTTTAAATCAATGCTAGATCACGACAGCTCTCCCTTGGCGAGGAAAGTTTTTTTTTTCACATTTCAGTTGTGGATTCAAACATAGTAAAACGTGTTAGATTCAGTGTACTGTGCACACACCATGATTTAATGTGACAAAATATTACCTTTGCGTGTACATTAGTCCATCAACAGAGAAGTATTCCTGAAGAGACATTATAACTTTTATTGTATGTCTTTTTTTAAAGGTAGTGACCCAGTCACAATCCATCATACACCGCAAACACAATGGTGAATATTTGCGGAGTTCCTAAAATCTAACTGAAAGAAATTTGTTTATATTCTGTAATTCAGTAATCTTTGAAAACACACTTTGTATGTTGAAACAACAATCTGAGGCCCTCTTTTTTTACCTCATATTAAGCTGAAGAAAGAGAAGTTGGTCGTTCCAAATCGGTGATTTTGGAAATGTCACTAATAATAACTCAATCAAGTTCCTCAAAAAGGCATACTGCCCTTATGTATAAATAAAACATATGTATATACATATAAATGTATTGCTTTAAGGGCACCTGTGATGCAAAAATCTACTTTTGGCAGTTATTTAGACAGAACTGTGTGTAGGTATAGTGTGTCCACAGTCATACTGGAGGTAGATAAAACCAGCAATTATCCTTTTTAAAATTTCCCGACATTTAAACAGAATCCAAATCCTAGTGATTTTGAGGCCCACCACAGCGTGATGTAAGAATGCGATTTACCTTGCCCACCGAATTGATTAACAGGGACATATTTACACCTTTGCAAAGAAACTGGGATTAAAAGATCCTCTTTGTGATCAGCTGCACCTCAGGAATGAGTTTTACAAGTTTAAACGTTTTTAAAACAAAGCATGTTTGTAATAAAGCAAAAACAGTAAAATCGCAATGGATTTCATAACCGTTGGAATCACCACAGCCGCAAAGTGTCAGTACAACAATATACAAGGAGCAACAATTTGCAAGAGCATAAACAGTGCAAAGCTACATGTGTGCATGTGTGTGTATTGTGAACTTTTTAAATGGCATTTCTGTGTGACTCATCGTTTCAGAAAGGCTTGAATAAACTCAACTAGGACTGCATGATATTGGAAAAATCTGACATTGCGATATTTTGTTTTTATGCAATATATACTGTGATATACTTATACTTGGAAATATTTTTTGGTTGCACCTTGTTTTAAGTTTCAGTTCTGGCTCTTAGCAAACCATTTTGACTTTTGCTTCAATAAACTCCTAATTTGCTCCTTATTAATAGTTATTAAGTTGGTTTAGATACTGGATTAGAGATGTAGGATAAGATCATACAGAACGTGCGTTTTAAGTACTAATAAGGAGCCTATATCTCAGTAACATGTATGCTAATAAGCAACTAGCTAATATTGAGAATTGATCCCTTAAGTGTTACCGAATGTATTAATTTTAACTGACTAACATGATTCTGTAGGGGAGTGAATCATGCATAAGATGTAATAAACAAACTACAAAGCATAAATAAATGCAAATGCAACAAAGCAAAGATAAAAGTGAAATAAACAGTGTATGCATTAAGGTTTTATATACACGTGAAAGTAAAAATTACACTGCAAGTCAACTGAACATATCTTTCCCATGTGACCATATCGGATGCACACATTGCAGTATCGATGCCGAAACGATATACTGTGCAACCCTAAACTCCACCACAATTACATCAAGTAAACTTACTTGATATTTTTGACCAAAAAGCTGAATCTCCGTTTAATCCGTGTCTGTCACCGATTGCTATTTTTCAAACATTAATGCATGAGAAGCAGACACACAAGTGTGGGCGGGGAGAACCAGCTCATTTGCATTTAAAGGGTCATTAAACCACCCTCTTTCACTGTTGTCAGTTAGCTCACAAAATGATACACAAACCGTGAGGAGAACCATGATTTTATAGTTTACAAAGTTAAAATAAAAGAAATATACAGTTGGTAATTTAATGCCCTGCTACATTTGTTTTACATAATTTTACACATAACCACAATTTGTTATGTCATTATAAAGAAAATCATGTTTATATAAACACTATAAATGAGGAGGACTTCTCTCCTCCACAATTCCCTGGTCTGAATGCAGACACAGTGTACAGCAGTGCTGCAGGTCTCTTGCACTGAGTATTTCAACCATTAGCCATTCCAGTAAATTCAAGGATTTTAAACATGGGCGAACACAGCAGCACGGATATAGGCGATGTGTCTGAATGGTAGGGAGTTCAACTGATAAAAAAAAAGTCTGTCATTCTTCAATTTTCAAACAGCTCTCCCAACAAAAATGCTTGCTGCAAACCAACACCTTTGCTGTATCGGCCCTGACAGAATTGTGGAGAAAAATGTGCAACAAACCCCATGGATCATGGAAACAAACACATACGACCCGTGCTGTGCGCAGACGCTGTCTCATCCAGTCATTGCATCACAGTTTAGTAGGTGTGCCTTGCTTTCAGAAAGCACATGCTCATGAAAAATTAAGAAGCAGGGTCTTCTCATAGGATGAGAAAACTCAGTTATATAAAATAATGAGAAACCGACGCGTCATCACGCATCACACACTTGCAGTTTTGTGTTAAATCATCGATTTTGATCCCACCCCGATGATTATTCTAGATGAAATTTCAAGATGAAATTAGCTGACAAAAGCTCCAAATTATCCAGCTTTTCCCACAAGTAAAGCTGACATGTGCTAATGTTGTCTTAACTGATGCTCAACACACACAAATCTGTTAAAATAAAAAAATACTCCTGAACATTTAAAGGCACAGGCTACAAAACCAGCTACAATGTCCTCTGAGCCAAAAACTGGCATGTTTTTGCATTGTATAATAAATAATCTGATAGGTATTTTTGAGCTGAAACTTTACAGACACACTGGACACACCAAAGGCTTAACTTGCACCTTGTAAAATGGGTAAAATAGGAGTTCTTTAATACCAATGCTTATTAGCAAAATGTGATTTTACTTTATTGTAATCTGTTATTAAGATAAGAGGTCACACAAAATAGCTCTCCTGTTCAGAACAACCCTATCTGGCTGAATGTCAGGATGACATCATTTCCATGTAGTTTCAGAGATAAGTGTGTGTGTTGCATGTGTGAGCGTGTGTTGTGTAGACAGGAGAGAGTACAAGCACAAACCAGCAGAACAGAGAAAGAATTTCTAATCTAAACATAACTAGACCCTTTGCTGAAAGTCAAAAATACAAATGCAGCACACGGTGTGAAGTGAGGCTTAAATGAGCATGTGCGAGGCATTAGTAATTGGGTTAGCATCACATTTAGAACCAGCCAAAGACAATGAGTGACCTCTGAGACCTCCCGTCCAATCAGAATCCAGCTAAAGCAGCTTATAGTGCTTGTCTGGCCCTGTGCTGTTGTTGTGTATGCCACAGCACGTGACGTCAGAGCAAAACACAATTACAACACTTTACTGGGAATTTCCTGTTTCTCCAGGGGTGGTAGAGTACTGATAGCCCAGTCTAAGCACTGCCTCTGACATACAGTAGAAAACCAAACATACCCAAGTAGACACAACTGTAGCATTACCATCTGTCCATGCAGACTGTGAGCAGGTGTCTCCATTGTCTGGGCCAAGGCATACTAGCCTTGATTTTCGCATGTATAAAAAAACACCTTGTGCAGAACAGGTTCAATGCAATAGACAGCATTGTATTTGAAAGCGATTCATCATCAAAATGAGGGGACAATTAATAAGAAGTGCAAACTATCAAAGCTAATTACACACTTGAGAAAGCTCTGACAGGGTGTTTGATGGGTAGGAATTTAAAAGATTAACTTTTAAGGATGGAACATTGGAAATAAAGTTATAAGGCATTTATAATCAAATTCAGAGATGAGGTGGCTTAGAAGCATTTTCTTTCCTAATATATACATTAGGGCTGCACGATATAAAAAAATATATAATGTTGCAATTAAGGCTGCACAATATAACGTTTTAGCACTGATATTGCAATGTGGGAATGTACAATATTCACATCACAGGATCTGTAATGTGGAGTCAGGGTTATAATTGACTAGGTACATTTGTGGAGTCATATGGAGTCATCAGCGATATCGATGTTGAATTGATATATTGTGCAGCCTGAATGATATACATGACACCTATACATTGCCTTAATGTTTACTGATTGATTGATTGATACATGTACTGATTGAAACATGGGGCGTAACAATTATTTTACATTTTAAAAGTCTGACATTTGTTCTACATTCAGTTCAATTCATGCTTATTTCTATAGTGCTTTTGCAATGTATATTGGGTTAAAGCAGCTTAACAAAGAAGTTATAATAAATTGAAATTTACTAGATTAAGCCTCTTAAGAAACATATAAGTGTTTCTAATAATAAAAAATATGCTCATCAGAACTGTATTCACTTGATTAAAAAGTCAGCAAAAATATAAATGTTTTTTTTAAATATATCAATATAGAAAATACTTCAGTTAAGAAAATGTGTCATTTATTCCTGTAATGACAAAGCTGAATTTACAGCACCATCACTCCAGGTCCACATGATCGAGCAATGCTCTGTATTTTTTGGAAAACACTTATTTCTTTTAGAATTATTTGGTAAGCAGCATTTAATTGCCAAGGAAATATTTTGCAACACTATAAATATATTTACAATAATTTTCAGTCAATTTAATGTGTGCCTGCTGAATACAATAAACTTTTTTTAGAAATAAAACCTTACTACCATTTGATAAAATAAATGTTCCTTTAAAACTCTGAAGTATATACACAGAACTCCAGCAGAAAACGACCTATGAGCTTCACTGTAGGCGTACTGTTAGTAGGAAGTCCCCCAAAACTTGTAAACGGCTGTTATTTAATCAGAAGAAAACCAGCTGCACACAAGGGTATCATGCTGTCCAGTATGTCACACAAATATGTAAAGACCCCTGGCCCCCCGGGTCATCAATTTAGATGCATGAACACAGTGATAAGTTAAATCTATCTACAGCACCAGTTTTCCTTTCAATGTGAAACCAAACGAAACAAAGAACTCTTTATGTCTGAATCAACATATGGCAAAAGTAAAACAAAAATAGACTGACATCAAACAAGTGGCTGGAGAGAATGAAGTAAGAGAGATCTATTAAGTGGCATCTGACTGCAGTATTAAATTAGACAGATCTGAGAATTATAATCCATTTTTCTGCCTATACTGCAACAGTCGGAACCCTCCTGCTTATTAAATCACTCTGGCCAGTGAAAAATTTAACCAAATCAGACAAACTGATTCCACCAATTAAGGGCAGCATAAATCTTACAACTGAAAACAAAACAGGCCAGTAGGTAAATAATATTGAACCATAGTAATTATAGAGCATCTACTAATGTGAGATCTATCATTTCAATTAAAAAAAAAGGCTTGTGAAAACAGAGGTGTTTGCTGACTTTGCTCAAGGCCTTTAAATTTTCACACGTCTTAATGAAGTAGTCCCTTAAAGAGGCTGATTGTCCATAAAAAAACAATGCAGTACAGGATAAGGTGGAGGACTATCTCAATGACAATTTAGTCAACACAAATGTCGGAAAGCAACTTTAATTTCTTTGGATCTGATGAGAAACATTATGTTCTGTTGAGGGAGTGTCGTGGTTTGGGGGATGTTTTCTGCAGCAAGAGTCGTGCCTCTTATACAGCCACATGGCAGAACGAATGCAAATTTTTATCAGAAGATCCCTCGGCAACAGACTGAAAGAAGAATGGAGCAAGATCGCACTAGAGCAGTGTGAGAGACTGTGGCCACAGATGTGCTCAAGTCATTCACAGCAGGGCCCTGGACACCAAGCACTATCTTTTGACAGTTGTAACCTTCAGAAATATATTTAATTTTATTTACTTAATTAATTAATTGAAGTTCCTTGGTTATTTTGTAAAAGACTAGTCTAGAATGGTAGAGCCAAGAATAAAATACCTTAACATTTTGTACAGACGCGACACAGTGTCTTAGTGGTTAGCACTGTCGCTTTACAGCAAGAAGGTTGCTGGTTCGAGTCCTGGCTAGACCAATAGGCATTTCTGTGCAAAGTTAGAGCATGTTCTCTGCGTGTTTGTGTGGGTTTCCTCCTGTGCTCGGTTTCCCCAACAGACCAAAGACATGCAATATAGGTGAATAGAAAAAACTAAATTGGCCGTAGTGTGTGTGTATGAATGAGTGTGTATGGGAGTTTCCCAGTACAACTTCGTAAAACATATGCTGGATAAGTTAGCGGTTTATTCCGCTGTCGCCACCCTTGATGAATAAAGGGACTAAGCTGAAAAAAATATATGAATGAATGAAATTGCTCATCATTCATTGACTAACGATCTCTATGACAGATGTCTGGTAATAGGCTCTTTTTTAAAATATATGTATAAAACTTTAAATTAATTCTGTTCCCTGTACCAAAAGCTTTCATATGACTTCAAAAGACATGGTCTAAAACCAATTCACATGAACTACTTTTAAGCCAATTTGCTCATTTTGGAAGCTTAAAACAGGCTGTTGCCATTAATGGTGTATATGCACACAGACTTTTAAATTTCAGCCAGCCAGCCTCAGCACTTCCAGAGTACTGCATTTCTATTGGCATGGGCAGGTATAAGATTGTGTTGTTATGATAAATTTTTATAGTTTCATTTTATTTTTCCCCCCTTTGAACACAATATATTTTATTTTGAAAAACATATTGTGGATACATAATATGAAAAACAAATTATGGATACAGTAATAATAATAAATTATAACAGTAAACTAAGTGAATCAAATGATTCAAAATGAATTCAAATGAATCATTAACTTCTGCTGTCTTCATTCATTTATAAAACACAGATTTATTTCCAATTTTAAACAACATTTTTTGGATCTTTTATGCTGGAGATAAAAAAACGTAAATAAAAAAATCATACACATACCTTAGGAACGGTATAGCAGAAAAGTTTGGCGGTTTGGAAAAGTCAAGGTTTTTCAGTGGGGTTTTGACTTTTTCAAACTGTGGTATACCTTGAAAAAGTTATCGTCTTTCTATTTAATTTTTATATTGTAAAACTGCCATGTTTGAGGTCTGATCAGTGATCTTCACTGCTGGATAGATATATGACATAAAGTGGGTCTCCGACCAGATAAGAAGCACTGCATTAAATTTAATTTCCCCCGCCATTTGTTACAAAATATGAAAATTTATTTTACCCCAGTATTTTCAATGGAGTTTCTGCAATCGCCTGATGATCCTGACGGCACTAGCAGTTACAAAGTCTTTCTTCTCATGTTACGCTTGAACAGCTAAATAAATAAAGATTGTTTACCTGAATGCATTTTAATTACATTACAACATCAATGCTGTAAAAAGAGACCTTATGAAATTGAAAATTACGTTTTTTCCGGAAGTTTATCATTGGCTGAAGAACACTGGCTGTGCATACAGCCCACTGCATGAAGAAGAGCAATTCCATGCAAATGTCAACCTTGTCATGACAAAAGGTTTTCACCAAAATAGCAAAACCGTTTCTAAGTTTTTTTTTGTTTGTTTTTTGCATAAGCATGTATTTAAAAGTGTCTCTGTCAATGTTTTCAAAAACTTATCTTTGATTTACCAAAGTCACACAAGTGCCAATGTCACACTTGTCACATCCATAACGAAGCTTTTTCCTCATAAATGCAAAATTGTTAAATAAAATAAAATTAAATCAATCTGATTCAATCGTTTTTGTTCTATAGTGAGCCAACTCTTATCTTATAGCTTGGCATTGTTTTCTTTTGGGTTGTGCAGTTTAATTCACAGAATTCTTACAAAGTATGTTGTTTTGGTCACATCCATGATGCATGTTTATTTCCCTTATTTTAAATCTGAAAAATGTTTGCAGATTGATGTTTTTCTGATCCCATAACTCTGTGGTGAGTTGCTTAGTAAAATAAAAACAGAAGTTTCAATATAATGCTTTACATGTACTTTCTCTATGAGTTTACTGCAAATATCATATCCATAATCCTGGAATTGTTCAAACCAGAGCTGCCTTTCCCAAAATAAATCGCAAAACTATAGGCTAATCGTAGAACCATTGTCACTTGAGCTATGATCAACTTAAGCTTAAGATGCTTTTGGAAAATACAGTCCAGTAAAATTAATCAGAAATTATCCCCATTTGGTGCTCCACAGATTAAAAACATGTGCAACATGTTTATGGTGAGGAAGGCAATTTTTAGACCTTCCAATCTGTTTGCTGACTCTTGACCTAGAAGGCATGACATGTTTCTGTGGATTGTTCAAACCTGAAATGCAAAAGCTGACAGCACTCAAAGCCAGAATGAGGAACTGACAACGTGGAGTTATGTCGTGGAGTTATGACTGAAACACATAAAGAAATTAAACCAAGGCGTATAAGAGACCCTAAAAAACAGTTTACGCATATCATTATGCAATATCAAAACACAGACATGTGTCATCTTGTTATCAGCCACGATCATTTTGAAAAGTCACCATGCAAAACCACAAGGAACGCAGTAATATTTCAACAGCACATTGAAATATGATGATATTCGGTCCACGGGGTTTGTATTAGCACTCGTTCAAGCTAGCAAGCTACATGGGCTCATTCATACCAGGCTTAACGTTAGCTAAGGTTTAACGTGACGGTTGTGTCTCAAAACCTAACAAGCTACCTGGTTAGAAAGAAAATGCGCAAAAAAATGTGCGACTAAAAAATATTCAAACCTCATGACTCGATACTATTTCCGCAAGAAAAAAAACGCTGTCACGCTCGGAGACTCGCTCGGTTTTAAAACACAGACGATGTCTGACGTCTTTCGCAATGTTAAAAAGACGGATTTCTCACCGTATATCATTGCCAGTCCGGTTTCGTGCAGGAAGCGCACTCTTCTGTGTTTGAAGAGCCATATTGTGAGTATAGTGAGTGTCAAAAGCAAAATGAATGTGAGTAAATTCACGCTGTCCTGCCTGTGACTTTCCTCTGCTTCTTTCTCCGTTGCAAGTTCTTCTATGCCGCCGTCGTCTGCGCTTATCCGATAACATTGGCTTAAAATGAACACGAAGAGAGGAAACAGCGAGCTGGGATTCGGTAAATATAACGTCCATGGCTTTGGTGCTTTGGCCGCCTCCATGGTGCAGGATGCTGGCGGCGGGTTTCCTCACTCACTGCTTCAGCTGCGTCAGGTACAGTCACAGGCAATAATGGGCATCACAGCAGATCGCTGAGGCTCTTAAAGACACACGCACACCAATTCACTGATGCTGGTACTTTCCACCGAATATCACCAGATTATACCAATTTGGGACCGTAAACTACTTGGTTTTTGTTACTTTTCTGATCTTACAAAGAGGTGTTTATCCGAAAGAATATCTACTGCAATAAGCTTTTAGTTTCACTGTTTACATTTCATGCTGAACACAAAAGAAGATACTTTGTAAAATGTGGGTAAACAAAATGTCAAGTGTCCCCACACTTCATATGGGGAAAAAATACTATGGAATCAACAGAGTTGATTACCCAACAACAAGTTTGTTAGCCATACTGTGTGTTCATCGGAGAAGATACTGATAACATAAGATAGTATTATATGACTTTTATGTTCATACAGGTGGGCGACACAGTGGCTCAGTGGTTAGCACTGTCGCCTCACAGCAAGAAGGTTGCTGGTTCGAGTTACAGCTCAGACAGTTGTGTGTGTGGAGTTTGCATGTTCTCCCCATGTTCATTTGAGTTTCAATCTACAGTCCAAAGACATATATAGGTATAGGTGAACTGAATAAACTAAACTGGCCGTAGTGTATGTGTATGGATGTTTCCCAGTACTGGGTTGCAGCTAGAAGGGCTGCGTAAAACAAATGCTGGATAAGTTGGCTGTTTATTCCGCTGTGGTGACCCCTGATGAATAAAGGGACTAAGCTGAAGGAAAATGAATATTCATAGATTTGGAGCGGAGGGTTAGTAAATGACAGCAGAATTAAAGATTTTGGGTAAATTATGCCTTTTATCTAAATGACGCAATTACTCTAAATTTTTATTGTAGACATATATAATTGATTACGCCTTATTTTTAATGTAATCTAATTACTCATGGATTACTTTTAGGTTACTTTTGGATTTTGTAACTTTCCCTTTCATTAAACAGTCTGAATCAACAAAATAAAAATTAATAGAATGGAAAATGTAAACATGAAAAATAATTGGGGAGAATAAATCAATTAAATAATTTACTGCCATTGTGGAAACAATGATCATCTAATTCATAAAAAGGTACACTTTGGTCAGCGGCAATAGTGGTTAAGTGTGTCGACATAGAAATGTGGGGATTTCTGGGTCGAGGTCTTTTGCTGATTCATCTGCTCTCTCTGCTCCCCATACATTCCTGTCTATACTTTCCACTGTTGTTCAATAAAGATAAAACTCCACTAAAATATTATATAAAAAGTTTTACATTGTAGAATATTTTACATTACGTGAGTACATTTACTACCCAGAGTAGGTTTTAAGTATATTCACAAATGCAATATCCTTACAACTTAAATTTTATAATCTGATTACAAAATCCAGATTACACGTAGGCTAATCCACTATACTGCTTGTGGTGCATGGATGATGTCAAAAACTGTAAGAATAAATCATTGTGGGTTTCCCCAAAATAATCCTCTGGGTTTTTGAAGAGGGTTTTTTAATTTAAGGTTTGGTAAACATAAAATGACCAATTTGCTCAGCAAGGCAAATTACACACATCCATTTTATGTCTAAAATCGTAAAAAAGAATACTGGTTTCTTTAAAAAAAATTCTGACCCCTCTAATGTTACTGACCTTTTAGTTTAGCTGTCACTGTGATTTAAACAAACAGGAATTTTAGATTTCCTTTTTGCTCTTCTGCATGCTGCTTCCTGAAAAACAGGGTAATTTTTTAATGTTCTAAGTACATGTTTAAAACTATTAGTGTACAAATAGAATACATACAAAATTATTGACTTTTGAATAGTATAAAACATAAAATATTTTAGATTTATTCAAAGTTTATGCAAAGTGTTTATGCAAAATGTATAGCCTTTTTGCAGTTTCTAAAAAACTAAATTCTGCTAAATTCTATTAAATTTCAGCTAACCTGTCCAAATACACAGATGCATGCCTGTAGAGATGGTGCTAGAGAGCATTATGTAAGTTACTTGTTTTATCACATCAACAACAAAGCAAGAGTTGAATATCTAGGTGCAGTATCGAGTTTCCTGTATGATATAAATTTAATTCAGATGTGAGTAATGAGTCATAGACACTAATTGTTTAAAAATAAGATTTCTTTAAAATTATTTAGAGAAATGCACATAAGGCAGTGCAACAATTTCCTTGGTGCTATTTAGCTACCTTGGGTGATATACTAAAACATGTTTTAACTTGTTAATATTGTTAATATTGTTAATATTTTAGTTAGATTAATTTTTAGAAATTTCAGGGGAATTCTATTTTCATTATAATTTGGTTGTTTCACATGCAAAAAAAATGAAATGGCATCAGTTTCTTTATAATATAAAAATCTTTCACATACATTTTATGTCAAGCTACATTGTTTGATTGTAAAGAGTGTCAGTAATTATACCATAGATATATTAAATAATTACTGCCAGGATTATGTAAAGATGCTTCTTTGTGTGTGTGCGTGTCCTAAACCAAAAATATGATCAGTGCACTAATATTAATTAAATGCATAGCTATAATGTTTGATAAAACAGAAGTTAAATATTATTAAACAGGCAATATATAAATATAATACTATAATGGATTATACACTATCATTCCTAAGTTTTTAAGTTTGACAACTTTATTAATTCCACCAGGGGCAATTAAATTAGTAGCATCATGATACAAAAACACATAAAAGACAATTCACAAACAAATAATACTAAGAAAAAAGAAAACAACAAGAAAGAATTAAAATGTTTAAACTTTTAATGCTTTCAAACCTTCTTCCAAAGAGCAGAAATACAAAAAAGGCTTCAGAGGATGGGAATCATCTCCTATCACACTTTGAATGTTCCACATCATTTGTTGTTCATGTAACTCTGCTAGACTCCACAGAGGCGATCCAATAATATTGGAGCAAGTCTTAAAGGTGATTTTTGTCGGTAAAAGTGAGGAGAACCAGCATAAAAAGGAAAAACTTATAATGCTCTCATTATAGGTAGTATAAAAACTTCTCAGTGTGTTTTTTACTACTTAGAAAGAGTTCAGTTTCCTAAGACCATACATTCTCTGATGCACTTTCTTAGTAACAGCTTCTAAGTTCTGCTGGAACTTTAATGTGGTGCCAAGATACTTATATTCCTGTACCCTTTTAACTTGTCTTCCATTAAAATTACACCAAATTACATTTTAATTAGAGGGAATCATTGTAATTTATTTTCACTTTAAAAATGAACTATCTTGCCTGAATGAATTCAACTGCATAAGTCCAAATATTATTATTATCTGAACATTAGACATAATATAAAAGAAAAATACAATTAAGAACCATAAAGCGATCAAAATGCAGTAATAATCCATTATAACTGTATTTTATTATTGCATGTGTTGTTATTACACACATGAGTTTGCAAAATGCAGAAATAAAATGTTTTATATACGCCAGTGATGAAATAGTAACACCCCCTCCCTCTTCTCTGATAGATTTCGCAGATAAGGCTCAGCTTTGATTCGCTGTTACCCTAGTAACGCTGTCCGCTGTAATGATTGGCTGGCTCCAGGGTCAAGGAAACGGGAAGCGCACAGGTTGCGTGTTCTTGATTACTTTCTGGGGAGGAGAAGAAGCCAGAGCGCGACTGCGGCGGATCGACACTTTCAGAAACGCCTGGTATTTACAACCGGAGGGGCGTGCTGACAAATAGCACAACTCGTCGTCCATAAATGGGGTGCTTCTTCTCCAAAAAATCGAGGAGGAAATCTCCCAAAAAAGACGCTGCTTTACCCACCGGGGACGAGAGCGCTACGGGCAATGACCTCGCCGAAACCAACAACACTGCGCTGGGCAGCAACAGCAACCAGGAGGCTCCAAAGCAATACAGCTGGGACAAACGAGAAAAGGTACGACGCTGACATTTTGAACGTGTTTTGTTTTCTTCAGACATATCCAATAGGTGCCTGCATTAGGAATGAAACAGATATTGTCATATGCGTTAGCACAGTTCGCCTTGTTGAAACCAATTTTCTGCCGTTCACTACATTTGTAATCAAGCTAGCGAGGGGTTTGGTTCTTCCTTATTCTTCAGTGTTTATGGATTTATATCACACTTGTTTTCGATTAACCACCGATATTAGAGTCTCTTTGCGATTATAGGTTTTCTAATGCTATGGTAAATTATAGACCGAGCTTATTATCGGCTTAAAGTCAGGCACGTAACTTGTTTGCCTGGCGCTTGCCCAGATAGCGCTGTGTTGGGGATTAGCACATAAGTGGTGTCGCCATCAACATGTATGACAGTATATAAGGGAGGGTGGGAGTGTCTGTTTGTTAGTCCCCTGAAACCACAAAACTATCACCAAGCTTTAATAGCTTTCAAGTGTCCGGAAGTACGAATCTATTACGTTTAAATATTGCCCTGGTCGATGCACTCAAGTCAGATGAAAGGCAGTAAATGCACGAGACGAGTTTGTCAGTTTTCTAATGCGTCAACAGATTTGATGGATTAGACCAGTAGTTTTCAAGCAGATGAAGGCCCAGTAAAGGGCCTAAGCAAAGTCCAATATCCTATTTAGTTAAAAGATTTTAATCTAAAAAGAAAAATACGAGTTTACAGTAACGTTAGCTAAATTTAAACGAGAATGAATATTTAATAGCCCTGTACCTCTGTGAGCTTGCTGTGGTTTGTAATATATGGTATGTGGTCAAAGTTGACATAAATTAAAAGTTCATCATATGCACGACGCACATCCTGTGAACATCAATCCACGATCATGAATTATCAATCATATGATTCATATACCAAATTACTCCGTAGATTTTCAGTGTTTGTTTTTATCACTGACATCTGAAATTAACAGACTGAATATTTGAAGCAGTATTTTCTGGAAAGTTTGCTTCGGCATGCTGCTGCATTATCCATACTAATTTTATTCCCATGATGTTTGAAATAATGTCACACCAATCCATTCTTTGATTGATTTAACCTTAAGTATATTGGGGCTTTTTTCTCCATTAATTTAGTCCACTTAAATAAAGTGCTTCCTCAATCAAAAACACATTCAGCAAAGGATGCATAGAACCAACCCCCACCCTATTTCTTCTTCTTCTTCTTTTAAAATAGTTTGTTAATCTCAAATGTCACAATACTAAAGATAAGATCTGTTGCCGTTTCAGTTTGAACAAGACTACAGCCGCAGCAAGCACATTAAAAGCTATACTACAATGGTCTCAAACTCAATATCTGGAGGGCCGCAGCTCTGCATAGTTTAGGTTCAACCACCTCTAACTGACACCTGCTTAATAGTCTCTAGTAGTCTTGAACACCTTGATTAGTTGGATCAGCTGTGTTTGATCAGGGTTGGAGCAAAACTGTGCAGAGCTGCGTCCCTCCAGAAATCAAGTTTGAAACCTATGCTATACTGTATGTAAATATCTGGTGTGGTAGCCTAAATATCATAGATCATAGTTTGACATAGTTATTACAGGTTTGATCCCTGGTTGGAAGGGATAATCTGTAAGCTCAAAAGGGCTATTTAGCAAGAAGGTTTTCATGGTGTTGCTAGGAGATTATTAGGTGTTTTGGAGTTGTTTCTAAGTGGCTAACGTTATAGCATTTACTGACCCAAATCAAGAGCTCTTGCCAGGTGTTGGTCCATAGATGCAACACAGATCTGCCTTTCTGATCTGTATTTGCCAGACAGAGATTCGCACAGCACCTCAAAAAGAAGATTTGATGTTGCCTATATCAAAATGTAACTCTTTTTGACAAAGTATAATTATTTAATATGATGTTTATTGAACATTACAATTGTATAAAAAAGTGCATATTGTTTGCATATTCATATATTGTGCTTTTGTTAGTATCTTAAATATAGTTCATGCTCAGGAAGGAAATTCATTCATTCATACAAATAGTCAAAAGTTGTACATCAGCATATCAATATATAACATACACAATCAACTCTAAACATGTAATCCAATAATGAGATGTAAATAAACATACAAATTATTGTTTCTTCAATATATGTTGTACTTTAACATGATTTAAAAATGATGTATGAACAATTCAGTAAGCCTAAACTGCTTCAGTCCAGTAAATGTTCATCTGAGAATATTCATAACAATAAAAAAGGACTGATGTTCTATGAAGTGGTGGTAGGACTGCATGATACTGGAAATTAAAAAAATCTAACATTGCAATATTTTGTTATTCTGCAATATATATTGTGATATGAAAACAATTTCACCAGATTACTTGAATATCTCTATTTTGGAAGAATTCTAATCATTTTTTTAGATTGGCTTGGTTGATTCTGCAGTGGGAGTGCATAGTCATAAAATCTAATACACAATCTGTAAGTAGAATAAAGAAAAATATACAATTCAGGGTTCAAGGATTCTATTCTACTGGCCCAGACAAAATTTCACTAGCCTCAACAACAACAACAACAAAGAAGTGAAAAGCTATTTCTTAGCCACATATTTTCAATAAAGCCAAACATACTTGTATACATAATTTTTTTTTATACATAATTTTTTTTTTCAACAAAACTTTTCTTTAAATACAACTGACAGTTTAAAAATGTACAATTATGATGTAAATGTATGGAGAAAAAAAAGTATTTATTTATTTGATCCAAGTGCGATTGCCGGATTCAAATATGCTGAACGAACCGCGCTAACTTGGCAAACAAGACAGGTTCTGAAACAAACGTCTAGGTGTAAAAGCACGCAATTGACATACAGCTGCAGCTAAATTAAATTTTGGTGACAAGGCGGCACTGGACCAGTAACGATACTGCCTACTGTCCCAAGCATCTCGCAAGCTAGTATCGGGCCATCAGGCAGTCCTTACTGTCGAGCCCTGTATTTGAGATGAACAGTGTTTTAATATTTTCCCAGTCTAACAGTATTCAGGCACAGTAATTGAATAATAAAGATACAAATAATTCAATAAAATTAATCATTATTAAAGTCACAAACGGTAACATTTCTTACATCTGAGTGCTTTTAAAATCATTACACAGTCACAGGCCTTCAAAACACATGCGGTATCGATGCTGAAATGACATTGTGCAACCCTACCTGGTGGTAGAGAGATTCTTTAAATTAATTGAAAAGGACTTTTGCTAAACAGGATAATCATTCATCTGTATTATGTCAAGCCCCACTTACTAAAACAAGGTATTTTAGTAGTTTATACTAAGTATAACGGAACAATAAGTTAATAGGAAGCCAGAGAGCAAAGATCGGCAATCATGTTTTTTTTTTTACAGCTTTTTAAGTTCTGCTTTTAGCAACACTAACATGTGTGTTTTTACTTGCAGGTCGACCCCAAAGACTTTATGCTGACAGGCCTCAAGAATGAGACCGTGGGCAGGTTACCAGGCAAGCTCAACGGTCAGCAGTTTGTCATTCAGGACTGCGAAAACTGTAACATATTTGTGTTGGACCATTCGGCAACTATTACCATCGATGACTGTGTGAACTGCCGCATTGTGTTAGGTCCGGTCAAAGGCAGTGTGTTCTTCAGAGATTGTAAAGACATCAAATGCGTGGTGGCCTGTCAGCAGTTCCGCACGAGAGACTGCAAGAAAATGGACGTCTTTTTGTGCTGCGCCACCCAGCCCATAATCGAGTCTTCTACAGGCATGAAGTTTGGCTGCTTCCAGTATTACTACCCTGAGCTGGCTTTCCACTTTAAAGATGCAGGTCTCAGCATTTTTAACAACAACTGGAGCAATATTCATGACTTCACACCTGTCTCTGGAGAAACTAACTGGAGTCTCCTGCCAGAGGATGCTGTTGTCCTGGACCATGTGCCTCTTCCAGATCCTGAGTCAGAGTTCAAGTCTGTGAGAATTGCTACTGAAGCAGGTCGGAGTATAGTGCCTCTGACTAAAGGGAGCCGGCGAACAGAGAGCGAAGAGTCTTGTCTGTTTGTGTTCTTCGCTGGAGACTACACCACTGCTAATGCCCGCAAGCTCATCGATGAGGTTAGAACTTATTTGTGACGCTGCAATACCAAACCATGATGTGGACAATCCAACATCAAACTAAAAATTACTTTAGGGGTATTTAATGTGTCTTTGCTCTTTGGGTAAGGGATACATAAATATAAACAGTAACAGGGGGGGGAGGGTGAAAACATTATTTTAAAAGCCTTTATTAACATGAGTATTCCATTAGAACTGGACCTATGAGTTTCAGCAAACACTCGCCTTCATCAGGGTAGCATTCATTGGTAGGTGCAGTTCTAATGGGAAAGATGTTAATAAAGGCTTTTTTTACATTTCACTTTTTATCAAGTGCCTTGGACTTATAATTTTGCTGTTTATCATGATGTGAACAATATTTGGTAAGATAGGACTATTTGAAATCAGGAATCTGAGAATTTGAGGTGCCAATTGATACAGAAATTTTGAAAATGTCAATTTCCCACTATCATTCGAACGCTGTTGAGCACGTTCTTTAACACAGCTGATAGCCTATTGTATTGAGATGTGCAAACACAGATACGTGGACACCGGAGCATTTCAAATCTGTATTGATCAGTCGATTTGTCAGCAGATTGCTCGTATATCAGCTCATAGAGAGAGATCAGCTGATTGAGACTATTTTGAAATGCTCTAGTGTCCGTGTATCTGTGTTTGCACCTGATGAACAGTGGTAAAAAATGGTGAACTGATGACCTTCTAGACCAGGGGTCACCAACCCTGTTCCTGGAGAGCTACCTTCATGCAGATTTTAGTTTCAACCCTGACCAAACACACCTGTTTGTAATTATTAAGTGCTGCTTTAGGTACTATTAATTGGTTCAGGTGTGTTTGATCAGGGTTGGGACTGAATTCTGCAGGAAGGTAGCTCTCCAGGAACAGGGTTGGTGACCCCTGTTCTAGACTAATCACAGTCATTTCCATTGAGCTATCAGCGGTGCTTAAGAACACACTCAAAAGAGCTCAAACGATGTTTTTAAAGTTTTTGTACCAATTGGTACTGAACTTGATACTTCTGACAACCATTTTCGAAGAGTGCAAAAAATCAAAATATTGAGAAAATTGCCTTTTAAAATGGTCCAAATTGAAGTTTTAGCGATTTTATTTATTTTTTTATTTTTATTATTATTTTTTTATATACTACTAATCTAAAATAGGTATTTTTAAGAAATGTGTCTTAAATCTTTACTTGATATCCTGGGTTGGCATAAAAGAAAAAACAATAATTTTGACCCACAGTTTATTTTTGTCTTTTGCCAAAAAATGTACCTGTGCTACATAAGTCACATTTGATTGAACGAATGCTTTCGAATGGTCACTCATGTTTGCTACATTTGTTATTTGTGAAGTTCCTAAAGCTGGAAGTGAATCGGAATGATACACCATTTCCCAATATGGCATTTCTAAAGAAAAGCTTTGTGCTTGCATCTTCAGTTTAACCTCTAATAGAAAAACTTAGTCATAGTAAATTTCCCATGTACTTTCTTCAGTAACTCCACCTTTTTAAATAGAAAACAGGATGTATACCATTTCCACTTTGCTTACAATGTTAACAATATTAATACTTTTTCTTTTTTTCCATTTTGTGTTTGACTGATTGCTGACCTTTACGCCCAAACATAGGCTCCATATCTGACTTGGTGTCCTTTTTTTAGTTATGTACTTGCATAAGTTAAGGAAGTTGTTAACTATCTGAAAATATCTTGTGTATCGTTAACAAAAATAGGATGGACCAAGCAGTGGAGGGATGCTCTAAGCTGTGCTTTACAGTTATTTTAATGACTGAATGCTGGAATTGCTGGATTGCTCTGTGGCTCCAGGTCATGAGTCCAATTTGTATTTATAGAGCATTGCATATTTATGATCAAATTTACAAACAATGCAGAATGAAGCTGTTATTACAATAACTGTGAAAGTATAAGAAATTGCAAATAAGTGCTCATTCTGATGTTAGTAATGGGTCAAGTTTTCTTTTTTGTGAAAGAAATACAACTATCCTTGATCTATAAGCATCAGCATTTTATTTTTTTTTAAAAAAACGTAACTTTGAAATGTGGATTACAACAGAAATAAAAAGGGCCACAGATATAGTGAATTAATCTGAAAACTGAATCCAACCATGCGTTCAATAAGTTAGTTCTATGTAATCAAGCTAAAGGTTCGCAAACTTTTAGAAATCATCTAAAAATGATTAATGACGGGGAGTGACTGAAGCTGACAGAGAATCAACTGTCATCTGTCTGACCTTTTTGTCACCAGTTCCATTTGAAAATCTGTCACTCTGTACTTTTATTTCTTGGGTGTGTGATACTGACAATTATATCTCTATTTTTGTATTTTGTGATTCATTGAGTCTCATTCTAAAATGCTAATTACTGGTCAATTTTCTAAAATCAACTTTGAATCTGTTATTGTGAACTCTGTTGGTCATTATGGAACTTATGGCCAGTCAAAGAGGATTTAAAACACTAATGTGGCTCTAAGAAGTAGAGAGAACTGCTTCTGCTTTATATGGAACTATTTCCAGAGAGTATTACTATTAGATGACTATTTTATTTAAAATGTGACTTGCTCTATATTAGCTTTTTTCTTAAACTGCTATACGAAATCAATACCATATTTGTTAATGTGCTCACCTCACACACCGATATTGTGCAAACAGGTGGACTGACAATATTTAACAGTATAATAATAATAATAATAATAGTTATAATTATTTATTTTTTTACTTGTATGGGTGCATTTGCTTTCATAACATAACTTTATTCAAATAGGCTTTATCAGTAAATTTTCTAATTTTTTCCCCAAAAAAATGTAAATAGGCACAACAACTCCAAAAATGACAAAATATTTTTTCATTACAGTTTTTGTTTTAACTAATAAAGAGTGTCTAAGTTTGAAATGTAACCTGTTGTGGGAACATAAATAAATATTTAGCTCTTTTTGGAGCTGTGGTGTGCCTACTTGATTTGTTTGGTTTGTGCACAACATTAAGCTTATTGCTTTCTAGATGTCCTCTCATGAGCTTTTTTTGCAATTGAGTGGCATACTCCATGTCAGATTGCAAACCATTAAGACAACATCTTAGGGCTTTTTTATAAACAGATACTGCAATTTTTTTTTTTGTCAAGCTTCATCTCAATATTTTGTATCATAGCTTCTTACTGCTGAAATGCAGTGAGTGTTAGTGAAAAAAGCAACTGAAACGATGCTCATTAACAAATTTTGTTCAAATTTGTTTATAAATATTCAGAAATGAAACACAATTTTTTCTCTACAGCAGACAGTAGTGAGTTATGGTGTTAGTTATCTCCTGGTGCCTTCATGATGTTTTTTTTCTTATGGTGTAACAACTGCAAACAACTCTGAAATTGTACTTTGCTGTTGCTTGCTACTAGATTGAGTGCCACTGGCAATACTTTTAATTGAGTTTTTAGCAAGACACTCCTCATATCTTGCTGTCTGTGGTGCTTTTTTTTGGTGCTGGTTGTTGTATTTCCTCATGCTATGGCAAAAATTCTGCAACAGCTCTCACAAATTACCTGTTTTTGTTCGGAGTCTGTGACTTAGAAACCAAAAATTTTCCCTAATCGCAATGTTTCAAAACGCGATTGCGATTTAATTACGATTAATTGGACAGCCCTACAACAATTACAATACATTTGTAGGCTATAAATATTGGAAACCACATGCAGTTGTCATTTACAGTTATCAATAAAGCACACACATCTAGACATGTCCACCAAGGGTTATACAATAAGAGTAACCAAGTGAATTCTCAAAAACTTAATATATTTAAGAAAATAAAAGTATTTTTTGTATCCACCTCTATGCAGGCAACTGCTAAAGGCTTTGTCCTGATTCAGACTAAAGAGGTTTCCATGCGCCCTGAGGATGTGAGCCGAGTGTTCCAGAATAATGCAGAGAGCCTTACTGAATGGATCACCAAAGGTACTTTAATGCATTGTGTTATAATACATTAAGGCATGGACAGCCTCTTGAGATATAAATCTGATCCATTTGTGAGTCATAACAAAATGCTGCGTGTTCCCCTCAGGTCCAGTGGTAGCGCTTGAGCTGAATGGAGACGGTGTGGTGGAAGCGTGTCGATCCTTTGCCAATGAAGTGTTCAACGGAACACAGGTAAATATAAAAGAAAACATTGGTTTCTTATTTATTAGGGGTGTAACAGATCACGTTTGATCCGTGGTTCGTACTGATCACAAATCACAGTTCGGAAAACTTTTTTTGAACTTTTAGGTTAATCTAACATTTATATCAATTGCAGAGAAATCGCCTCCCACGTCATTCAAATCACATTTATGAAAGCATTTTAGCTTCCCTGCAAAATCTAATGATGACAGAAAAAGTTGTGGTGGGATATAAATGCTTTCTTTGGGTATTAATTAAAGGTGTTTTCTGTCACTGCTTGTTTAGCCTGCATTAATGCATTCAGTGTAAAGCTTCACGATTAAACATTAAAAGATCGTGATCTCAAATTAAACCCGCACAACGAGAATGATAAATAATAATAATGATTATGATGAATGTTTGTTAATCCTAAGCGCTGCATTCAAATCTGCATTTGATCAAGAGAGATTCAGTTTTTACACCTTTTTCAATTTAATTCACCTTTATTTGTATGGCACTTTTACAATGTAGATTGTGTCAAAGCAGCTTCACATAAAAGATCATAGTAAATTGAAACTGTAGTTCAATTTTCAGAGTTTAAGTTCAGTTTAGCTCAGGTGAGAGTGGTTTAATAATCACTATAGAGAGTCCAAACAATAAAGAGCAAATCCATTGATGCGTAGCTCTACAGATCCTGAACCATGCAAGCCAGTGGTGACAGCGGCAGGAAAAAAACCTTCACAAATTAATCTAGTTTTTGGCAAAAGTGAAGAAAAAACCTTGAGAGAAACCAGACTCAGTTAAGCACGACCATTTCCATTTCTCCGCTGGCCGAACATCTTGTGCAGAGCTGCAGTCTCAGCGGCGGTGGCTGGAAGCTGACCTGAAGCAAATCCATCGATGCGTAGCTCTACAGATCCTGAACCATGCAAGCCAGTGGCGACAGCCGCGAGGAAAAAAAACGTCACCAATTGGTGAGAGTGAAGAAAAAAAACATTAGTTAGTTAATAACAATTAAATAACACAGAGGTACTGAAAGAGCACAGTTTATAGTTCAGATATTAACACTGATGTTAATGGTAAAGACTAAAATCACCGTTTAATGAATCTTGATGCTGGTGAATGTTGTAGCAATTACATTGTGTAACCAATAGGTGGTGACAAACAACCATCAAAATTACGTCACTGAATAGGTTTTCAGAAATCATCCACCTATAACGAAACATGAAGTTTATTTTGTGCATTGTTGAATTGTTAATTAAAAGCATTATGATTTGTTGTAATGTTAGATTTCTATATTAAGCATTATCAGCAGCAGTAGCAAACATCATTTTTCGTATTGAATATTTTCCTTTTTTTTTTTTTTTTACAGCTGGTTCATTCTTTATTTTTTAAAATGACAGGTTCTAAGTTCTGTTTGTTAAAAGCAATGCTTTTTGCTTAAATACTTTTGTATAAATGGAAAGCAAATGACATTTGTCTCCTCCTTTTTTGCTGATCCTAAAATGGTCTGATCCGTGACTCAAAAATCGTAGTGTGATTCGAACCGTGAGATTTGTGATCTGTTACACCACTAGTATTTATTGAGGATGCCCTGTAAAAGTCTATTTAAGTATATTTAGTCTTTTTTCATGCTTTTTTCTATGTTTTCCTGCAGCTGTTTGTTTCTGAGAGCAAAAATACATCCTCGCGTGATGTTGACAACTTTTTCAACTTTGCTGACATGCAGATGGGCCTGTGAAACTGGGGCAGAGGGTCAGCTCAATTTAACGTGGGTTCAAATTTTCTTGGTTTTGTCAATTTTGATACAGTATAATGAAATTACATCATATGTGATGCCACTGAGACCATTTAATGGGTTAAAACCACTATTCACTTTTTTTTCCTCCAGAAAAAAAACAGAAAATTGTTCTAGGGTGGATCTGACAATTTGACATTTTCATGTTGATTATATTGACATATTGTCAGCGAGTTTATTTGGATCCAATCAAGAAGGCAAGTGCCTTTAGATAGAGTACTAGAACTAAAGTCTAATCAAACATTGCTGTGGACAATTTCATCGCTTATGCTGAAAATAATGAATTTGATTATATAGATATTTATTGAATTTCCTTTTTTTTCATAAATGTATAGCTGGAAATTGTTTTACTCTGTCTTGGCTGTATACAGTACGTCTCCTTTACTTAGTGTATAGTCATCATGCCTGTGTATATTTGTTAGATGTAAAAACAATATTGTTCAGATTTTGTCACATGCCTAAAAACATGAATTGTATTGAATTAGATTTTTTTATATGACCGATATAAATGTATTTTATTTTACAGTTAGCATAGCTTTTTATTTGTATGTTTTTTTCAGTATTGTCTTGTTTTTCAAATGACATCTGTTTTTATTGTATAAGTTTTTACAGTAGCACTGTTCTGAAAAGAATGTAAATGCTGAAACTGATAGGTCGAATGTACTACTAAACAGGAGCATTAATCGTCTCCTTTACATTGTTCTATTTTTCTAGGATCATTTTAAAGAGCACAACAACTTTTCTGTGACCAGAATCATTTGTACACTTCAAAAGAAAAAATAGTGATTTTTTTTTTTTTCTTCTAAATGTTCCTATTTGTACAAGACAGTTTTTTAGGGATGAATAATAACTGTGATTTGTCAATACAATCATACTGATCGAAAGTTGTCTCATCTTTTTTCCACATGCAAATAAGCACAACACTAAATGTGAATGTATTACGACAAATGCCAACTAGTGAATAGTTTTGTTAGTTGAGTACATATTTGCTCAGAGAAAGAGATTGTGAGTAACTGTAAGTGGTGTTGTGAAATGTTGTGGTTCTGAATTTTGACCGCATTGCTTTTATAATAATTTCTTTAATAATAATCTCTTTCTGTCAGTAAAAAGTATTCAAATATCATGTTTAAAAAAAACAAAAAGAGTTAGAGTAGTTGTCTGATTTGTTGAGCACAAAAAAGTTGTATTTTCTTCAGGGGTCCAATATAAACATCAGGGGACAGGTTGAAATTAATAGTTTAATTCTGGTAGGACAGATTTTTACCTTGCTGGTTATAAAAGAATCTTAAAAATGCACAATATTAATCATTAAATCAGTTTTCTACCGTGCTAAAAACAAGAAGTGTTATGTTATATAAAGCTATGTGTATAATACATTTATTTTAGTAAATTCCATGGAATGTTTGCTTTGGTATATATTGCAAAATGAGTCAAAATGAGATGCATTAAATGCGTTTCAAACCAATTTTGTGATTTATGTGATATAAAAAATATAGGTGAAATAATGTATTTAAATGTATTCAAATTATTTTTATTCTAAATATGACTGACAAGTTTGTTTGGTAGAAAAATATTTTCTTTTCTTTAAGTAGGTTTCTTTGGTGAATGACAGTTCACCAATGTAGCGTTGTATTATACACTATATATATATTTTACCCATATACTCATGACAGCTTTTATTTGGCCTACCATCTCATCTGAAAAGAGAATGATGAGGAGCATTGAAGAGAATATTTTTTACAGAGATTGTCATTTTAAATTTAAAGTAATCTTTTTGTCTGTTTTATAGCAATTTAAAATTAAGCATTTAAATTAAATGTTGACAAGGAATCAGGTTTATAATAATGTAAATACTGTCTCTTGTTGAATAGAGGACAATGCACATTGTGGGCAAATTGATGCAAAAGCTTGACTTGTGTTGTTATTTGCCATTGAACTCCATTGTGTAATCAATGGAATTGTTTTTACTGTAATACGTTCATTATATTTATATATATTATCTTTTAAATTATACTGCATTAGTTAATATAAAGCAATGTTTTCTATTTATATATATATATATATATATATATATATATATATATATATATATATATATATATATATATATATATATATATTAGGAATATAAATTAGGAAAATACCCATGTTGACCTTAACTGTTTGCTATATTTATCTTCTGCCCACAGCCCTCAATCAAGTATAGTTTTGGGCCCTTTATGAGAAAAAGTGCTGTATTATATCGTAATAAATACTAATTTAGCTAAAATACTGTGACTTTAATCTAAATTCTAACGTTACCTCCATCACAGCACTGTAAGGGGACATTTAACTACCCCTGAAAAGAAATCTGCTTCCCCTGGCTGGGCAAGCAGTGGGGCCGTGAACGGGGCGGGCTCTAGGACCCAGCGTTTGGGTAGTACAATAGAGCTGTTGTGTCGTGGTGAAGAGGGTGATTTCTGCTTTTGGGATATTGACAGTGGGACAGAAACCAGAAAAATACGGAAAACACCGGTATTTACTGCACCTCAGCGCTGCTGACTTGAAGACAGCCTTGCGGAGTCTATCGGCGCTCACGATCGTCCTGAAGCACAGCATTTTTGGATGTTAGGTAAGGGTGCATCTCGAACAATACTGCTCGTGTCTTCACACAGGGCTCAGTGTGCCAGTTCTCCAGGCTGAGGGGCCTGCTGCCTCCTACCATTCCTCCGAGAAGCGTTTTACGTCCTCATTATTCAACTAGGACAGTGTTGGTATCAGCGATATAATTATGTTTAGGTTAAACATTGCGAACGCGCACTGAACGCGGTTATATACGCACAGTCAGTGGTAATATGTCAGCACAGAGGGGATTGTAGTGACTGGAGAGGGTTCGTCATGTAGGGCGGCTCGAGTTTGGCGCCAAGGCCGTCAGGAACCCTCGCGTGTTCAGCAATGGAGGCCAGCAGCGGTTCATGCTCACACATGGGCACAGTGCTGCTGTTTGTGAGACAGCTAAGCGCTTCTGTTTACCATCCGGTTCTTTATTTAACGTTAACTGTGTGAACTTCTAGAGTTGATCTGTGCATTCAGCACGAGTAACGTTATAAACCTGAACCTTAGTTTAAGAAAATTAAAAGTGGACATATTTCTCCTCGTTGCATCATGCTTTGGGTTTACAAACAGGCGACGTGATGTTTAAATTGTTTTCTTTTGCATGGTGTTTATTAAAGGTGCATAGTTTTGCTTATTCGCTAAAATGCGTCGCTTTTCGTTCTGCATATGGATCTTGTAATGAAGCAACTTTGTTTTTAAAGCATTGCATAATGTTTTTGTCTTTAATGTTCGGTAAAGTAGCGAAATGTGTGATTTAACTGATAAAAATGAGTATGATAATGGAGTGTACTTTGTAAAATGTAATTATAGATGACAAAACATGCATTAACCCTGACGGTGGTAGGCGCACGGTGCATTAGAAAGTTTGGAACGGAAGTGTAGTTGTTGGAATTCGGGAATGCCCTCCTTGAGCTTCCGTTCCCCCCACTGCTTCCCGCGAAATCCCTGACCGCAGGCTTAAACGTGTGTGCTACTCGTCGAGCGTTTTTTCAGCATTATAAATGGACATTAACTAGGTAACATTTTTATTAATAAACATGCAAATGTAAATAATGCTTTGAAAATACAAAGAAGGTGTCGGAGGCGCGTTTGATTCAGTGAGTCGAGTCGTTTGATTCATTTGAAAAAAGAATTGTTCAGTGACTCTAGGTGCCATCATGAACAAGCTCCTTAAACTCGCATATTTAGAATAATTCTGTTAAGTTTTTAGTAATTTATATTTGATTGTAGAAATAAAAGAACACACATATAAATGAATTTTACTCTCCTTCACTCCAAGAATAAATGTTATTGCCGTCTGTAGTTCCTCAAGAACCCCATACATCTGTCAAACCTTTTTATTGCACACAGTTATGTATTAATTTTTTCTTCATTGTAGCTTTAGTGTAGATTAAAGTTTAATATAGGCAAAAGAAACTCGTCACCTTGCAGCTAATGATGATTTGTGTGTGATGAATGAATTACCAGTGCTGTTTTAACACCTTCACACACAGTGTGTTCTTCATGAGGTTGTATCTGATTATAAAATACCATCACATGTACACGCCAACAGTGAGCAAGTGCATTGAAGCATCCTTCTCAATGTTCAGTAAATTCCTTCACAAAATATTTTTGTTGTTTCTTTTGGTTTAGTCTTGAAATTAATTCTAAAATTGTCGTTATTTTTACACATGCACTATCTTTTTGCTCTCATTCAGTCAGTCAGCTGGTCACCAATAGTTTTATTGTTATTTTCAATTTTTCTTAAGTCTTTCTGGTTTATTTAGTTTATGCACAATATTTTGTCATTTATTAATGCTTTCATTTTCATTCATACAAAGTTTACTCCAGCTACACTTCTCTTTTAAATAACAATACAAGCCATTTTGAAAGCTGGAGGAAGAACACTGCATGTTGACCTCACAATGTATTTAAATGCACAAATTCAACATTTAGCACATCCAAAACATTACATTTTGCAGTCTACTCCACTTTACTGTGATGCTGCAGTTCATCTAAATCAGGGATGTCCAAACTCGGTCCTAGAGGGCCGATGTCCTGCATAGCTTAGCTCCAACTTGCTTCAACACACCTTCCTGGAAGTTTCTAGTATAGTTAGAAAGAGCTTGATTAGCTGGTTCAGGTATGTTTATTCGGGGTTGGAATTTAAATATGTAAGACAGCGGCCCTCCAGGACTAAATTTGGACACCCTTGATCTAAATGATCGCACCATGACATGTCAGTCTTCTATTGGTCACACCTCTTCATACGATATAGACCATTTTGAGGGATGTAAACTCAAACAATGGTCCCAATGTATTTCCTGTTTCACATTTTAATTTTCCATAGCTTCTGAGAATCTAAAAAGAGCCACACATTGATAAATAATGTTATGGTAGCTGTTTACCATTGATATATGATTGTATTGCCTCTTATTACAGTTATAAAATAGTTTGATAGCAAGTAGGAAATGTTCATGGGCCAATAACATGACCACATTGAAATGGTCTGTAAGTTTGTAGGGAGTTCACCAAACTTAAACTTTGTAACATAGCAAGTTAAATAACTCCCACACTTGAATACATATAAATAAGTCAGAGAAACTATCTCTTAAGCACATCGAAAACTACATAATTGTTTAAAAATATTTCCTCACTAGCAAACACCACAACTAATCACCAGTGAATCTAAAAGAGCCGTTCACAATCACATACATTTGAAAGATATCAAGAACGTTTAAAGCACCCTTTGTGAAAAGAAAAGCTTTCTTTAAATTAATATCTTCTTCATGTAATCATAAATGGAAACAAAGAACAATTATTATTGAGAGTGTAGGAGTTGAGTTTAGATTCATAGGTCGTTTTTAGAGTGAATTTCTTGCAGAGTCAGTAAATGGGACAGTTTCCTGGCACACTAGGTCAGTGTGAGGTGGCTGTGGGGGTGAAGTAGATTTAGCTGGGCTGATCTGTTAGTGTTGGGGGTGTGGGGTGGTCTTGTCTGGGCCAAGCATTGTGCTTTATCTTGGTGCAATAGGAGTGGGGGTTGCTTTTTAAACTGTGAATTATCTTTTTTTTTTGTCCTGCCATTTTGTGCCAGAACACCTAGATAAGATAGTCGGCCATTTGAATAAATGTTGAATAATGTCATTGTTATTATTATTTTTTTCCGACTTAGTCCCTTTTGTCATCTTGGGTCGCCACAGCGGAATGAACCGGCAACTTATCCAGCACACATTTTACGCAGCGGATGGCCTTCCAGCCGCAACCCATCACTGGGAAACACTCATACACTCCCATTCTCACACTTACA